GGGTTTTTTCCAAGAGGTAGGGAATACTGAATTCTGAAGGGAGAAATTGTAGATAAAAAGGAGAGCTGGAAGGATTTCAGGGAGACATATTTTTATTAATTTGACAGGGATGCCGTCTGGCCCTATGGAATTGGTGTGGGATTTCATTACCGTGGTTAACAGGTCTGTGGGAGAAATGTTGGAAAAATAAAAGTTATTGTCATTAAAGGATATTTCTGGAGAAAAGCCGGAAGAGGAAGGTAGAGAAGAGGTATTAGCGACAGATATAAAATAAGAGTTTAAATCATCGGAGGATACAGGAAAGGCTGCGGTAGGGGATCTGGAAGGATTACAAATGGAAAGGTTACGAAGCAGTAGCCATTTCGATTTGATATCAGGAGCTGAGGAAAGGGTTTCATGGAAATAGGAAGCTTTCGCACACCGGATCCTTGTCTTTGCTAAGTTGCGAAGCACCCTGAACGCTTAGTAGTCATCTGCGAGCCTAGTACGTCTAAAACGTCTTCTTGCAGCGTCGCGCCTCTTCTGCAGATCTTTGATTTCCTGACACATCCAAGTAGCAGGCCGGTGACGAAAGGTAGAGGTTTTGAGGGGAGCATGGGTATTGAGAATATTGAGAAGATTGGTGGTAAGAATGTCAACCATGGAGTCGATAGAAGAGCAAGCATATATTCCATTCCAATCTAGGGTTTCTAGGTCAGGTAAAATTTTTTCTCGAGTAAGGGTATCTAGGTGACGAAAGGTGATAGTTCGAGGCTGGATTGAAGGAGTTTGGATATTATATGTTATTTGTATAAGATCGTGAGATGATAGGAATGATATTGGCAATTGAGAAGAGGAGAGGAGATTTTGTGCAGTCTATAATGTAGAAGTCTAGCCAAGTGTCGGACCTGCTGGTGTGGTGGGTGGGAGAAAATGGAACGATGAAGAGGTGCAGAGAAAAAATTAGGTTTTCTAGATAGGATTTGTCATTGGAGTTAGAGAGGAAATTGGTATTGAGATCACCGGAGATGATTATTCTGGGATATAGAGGAACGAAGAGGACATTAACATATCTACCAAAAATTTTAATTTAAGTTTTATAAAAACCTATTGATTTTTTTTTCAACCTTTGATACCCATATCTTTTTATTTATTTATTTTTTAATTTATAATGATCGTTATGTTTTTTAATTTATATTGATCGTTTTAAATTTTTTTAAAAATGAAAGTAATAATCTTATGTTTTTTTGACAATGATGTTCTAATGTTTGAATAATGCATGTTTGATTTGATTTGATTTTTTAATATTTAGTTTTCATGATAGGTATAAATAAATATTTTGGCAAAAGATTGATTACACTTCACCTTTTTTTCTTCACTTCTGTATTTGTGGAGGGGAATCAGGGAATTTTATTTAAGGCAGCGAAGAGTTAATAAATCCGACAGTTTAATAAATCCGAAAGTAATGTTTAGTTTGATTCAGGTTTCTGAAACGGCAATAATATGGTAAAAATTATGGAGAAAATAATCAATGAATTCATCAATGTGGACCGGAAGGGATTGGGAGTTCATGTTACACGTTAATTGAATACTAGTCATGGGAAGATAAACAAAGAAGTTCATCAAAGAAAGTTTGGAAAGGAACGGAACAATCACAATTTAATGAATTTAAATTTTCTACGGACAATTATATAATTTAACAAAATAAATAAAACTTGCAACTGAGAAAAATAAGAGATTTATCTAACTAGATGAAAAGATAAATAATAATAATAAAATAACAGAGAGAAAACCAGACTTAATGTATAAATATGCACAGAGATAAGTAAGAAATTAATTTGAAGATACATAACTCCGAGTATTCAATTCAGAAAAGAACATAAAATAAATTTCCTTGTGGAGAAAACTGAATATTGAGAGAAATACACTGACAGACAAAAAATTCCACCCACTTGATTTTTTCATGTTTTCATCTAAAAATATTTCTGCTTTGGATTGGTCTATTGTTTTTAATGAATAAATATGTAATCTTTTTATTTGTTTTCAATTAGGAATGTTAATATAGAGGACAATAACCCTTAATACTAAATTCAATGAAATGATTCTAGATTTCAATGTTTCCAAGATTCCAAAACGAACCATTATTATTCTAAAAGAAATTAATTACATCATCGTTTAGTAGCGCATGTTTCCTTCTGTTGCCTTCACTACTTCTTGAAGATGCCTCTTCATACTTTCCACCATTTGGGAAATGTCCCTTTGCTGGAGGATAGCCCATTCCTCTGAAGAGCCCTTTCAAGATCCTGCATTGTATCAGGAAGTGTTGCACACGCTCTTATTCGTCTTCCGAGGTTATCCCATAAATGCTCAATGGGGTTCAAATCTGGAGAACGAGCTGGCCAGGCTAAAACCTCAATATTGTTCTGTTGAAGGAACGTCTGCACTATGTGGGCGTGCATTATCGTGTATTAGAATAGAACGATCGCCGATTTCGTTGAGGATAGGCAACACATGAGGTTCCAAAATCTCATCTACATAGCGCATGGCCGTCAAAGACCTTCCACGAACAACAACTTATTCTGTATGGCGCTCCATTGAAATCCCTGCCCACACCATTAAGGAACCATGTTAGAAAGGTTGCCTCTGGGAAAAATTACAGGCTGCATATCTTTGGTTTCTTCTTCTCCACACCCTTTCACGCCTGTCTGGAGATCGAAGAGCGAATCTTGACTCATCTGTAAAAAGTACAGCACTCCATTCGTCCATGGTCCAATGGCTGTGTTCTCGAGCAAAAGCCAGCCGTGTTACTCTTTGAGGTTTGATCAACTCTGGTCCTCTTACTGGACGAAAAGCCATTAATCCATACTCATTTAATCTTCCCCGAGCGGTACGTTCAGAAATTTGCACACCTCGAACTTCTTTGAGCTGATTAATCGCTTGAACAACGGCAAGGTGCCAGTTTCGTAAAATTCTCAAAGTCAAAAACTGGTCATCCCGTGGTTCTGTTACCCTAGGCCGTCCAGAACCGTGCCTTCTATTGTAAGAACCAATTTCCCGAAAACGCCTGATGGCGTCTCGTAAAGTTTCATATGGAACGTCCATCATCAATAAGTGCCACACCACACGCAACATCCTCAGCACTAAGAGGCATTTTTAAACTTAAAATTGAAAAAATTAAAAGCCGGAGACTAAGAAATGTGCTGCAAGAAACGGAACTGAACTAATGATACTGAATTAACATTTTGATTCCTTAGAAAGTAAACATTGGAATCTAGAGTCATTTCATTGAATTAAGGGTTTTTGTCATCTATATTAACTTTCCTAATTGAAAACAAACAAAAAGATTACCTATTTATTCATTTAAAACAATAGACCAATCCAAAGCAGAAGTATTTTTAGATGAAAACATTAAAAAATCAAGTGGGTGGAATTTTTTTCCTGTCAGTGTATTTAGTTTTTTAATTTTATATTATTTGTTATTTATCTGGTTTATGTGAATATTGCATTTCTATTACTTGTGTTGCTCAATTTAAACTGTGACGCAAGGCCTAATCCAACTTATCTACTTTTACTTTTATGTTATATATATTTTTACTTTTTTTTGTCATTACGTTTGGGAAGAAAAGCGGAATATGTAATGACCGTTGTTTTTATTTTTCTCATAAAATGGATCCAAATATTGATCTTTGCTTTTTGTAATACTGATACCTTTTATGTTTTTTTATTTTATTTTTTCACCGTGAAAGTTTAGTGAAGAAGTAAAAGAAGACGGCTGTGAATAAAAGGGCATTTAAATTCCACAAGACTTAAAAACTATACTGGAATCCCGACGTGAGAGAAAATGTCTCTTGCAAGTGACAGGTTAGCTCAGAATCTGAGCTATCAGAGTGATGAAGCTCTGCAGTTGTCTGGGAGATGTCAGAAAGACTGAGTTAATACTCTTGATCCTGGATTTCACCATTTGAGAGAAGTTTGAAGAAGAAGAATCAATGCTTCATCTAATGAGTTAAATACTTTTAATTTTAAGTAAAGAGCATTTGGAATGATATTGTTATCATAAAGTCGTTAAATATTGCAGCCCAGTTGCACCAACAGTCGTAATTAAAGTTAACATTCTCTATTAACTGAATCATGTTAAAACTTAACCCAATGTTAAAATTTGGGTCCAGTTGCTCTTAATAATTTTTAAACTGAGTTAGTTAACAAAGTGTTAACGTGTTAAATCATCTTATTTATGCCGTATAACAAGAACCGGTCATTGTAAAGGAACTTGAGTTATTTTATGAAACCTTCCATCTACTTGCATGTAAACCTTGATATTTACAATTAATGAGGTGTTAGGTTATTTGATTGATTATTGCTTGTTAATTATTGCATAGATGATGGAAAAAAGAGAAAGAGGGAGCAATTTTTCTGAAAATAAAAAATAGATTGATATCATTTAATAAGTCCTCATCTGATGATAAACTTTCTTCAGATAAAATCATACCTGTTGTCATGAAAAAGGTATAAAGCAAAAACAGTACACTTATATTCTCAGAAGAAGCAGATATCTGTTTGTTGTTAGAAGTAACCATATGTAAGGGTGTAAGGTTACACTTTAACATCGTTTAAAGATTTGATCAAGGTCTAACGTTAGGTTAGCTACATAACTTAACACGTTGTTAAGGCTATTAAGGCTACTAATCAACATTTGTGTAACGAAAATTTTGTTAACCAGTGTTAACAAAAATTTGTAACCTAATCAAAATTTGTAAAATTAAAGTTAACAACAGTCGGTGCAACCGGGCCTTAATTTGTTATTAATATTTGGTTTTCAATGTTAAAAACAGCTTTAATATTTAATTTTTTTTTTTAGCCAAGCAAATTATGTGATCAAATTTCATATAAAGATTTACTATTGTTTCTGAAATAATATACATTTTGTTTTCATTGATTTATATAACATGAATATTTATTAAAATTATTTATACGTTTTGTTGATATTTATTCCTATTATTAATTTTATTTTTATTTCTTAGACCAGTCTCCTCCAAGAATTGTAAAACAACCTCCTACAGATGAATTACTTTTTCAAGTCCACCAACCACAGGAAAACATAAATGAGAAACCATTTGTTATTGAATGTGAAGCGGAAAGTGAACCAGCACCTAAGTATGATTTTATATTAGTAATAAATAATTTTATTTGGTTATTTAACCCCCAGTTTATCTCCTAATTATTGATATCAGATACTTGCTTTGTAAGGATTGAGCTGACCTTATAAGCTTTTGTTAGACTGTGGATAATGGGTAAAACAACGATAGATAAATTTCAGTAAGCTGTTAAACCCTGGTTACATGATAGTATGATGGGTGGGTTATGTAGCTCAGAGCAAGCCTCGACACAATGCAGACCCTTTCTATGCCCTAAAACAATCATTGCTTTATTGTTAAAAGCTATTAAAAAGTAGAGATAATTATTATATTATATATTATGTAGTGAATTTAATTGAACTGTTTTTATGCTTAGAAATTTGTTGGATTCTGAGAATATAGATTTCATACTAATTTTGCTGCTCCTTTTAAAAATTTCAACCATCCGTATCTGATCTGCCCGATTTGCATTGAATATTGATAAAGATGATCAGGATAATGAAATTAATAACAAGCATTCCCTAAAAGTGGAGAATGAAATAGATCTTAGTGCTAAGCTCAGGAAATAATGCTCTATTATGACAGTTTAGCCAAATAAATTTTTCTTAACTTAAATATGAGCAAAATAGATGATGACTGTGGATGGGTAGATTATGTCATAAAAATCCTTTTTCATGGCTCCCACTGTTTTTTATTTTTTTCTGAATTGATGAACATTCATTTAGTGAAAAACTCTTTGATCAACCTCAGGAGATCTTTCATCTCTAGGTTGGTCACATCTTTAACATAATAGATTGTAGGAGCTTATTAAGTATGATCAACAGTACACTTGTTATACCTGACTCAGAGTGTGCCTAAGATCAGGTTAGTTGGTCAGATCAACGTATTGATAATTTATAACTGTACTGGTAAATGCTTTGAAACATAATGTAAGTCAAGAATGAACATAAATAGTGTTAGCAAGTACATAACAAATGGCCAGGCCAAGGAATATGCATGTTAAAGTTAGAATTTGAAACCAGAACTGGGCCTGTAATAGGTCCACTAGCCGTGTATTCTGATTTTTCATATGAGAGTTATAAAAAGGTAATTAGGTGAAAATGAAACCACTTAAAGTATACTGGTGGGAGAATTATTTTAGGATATTGATACATTCATGATAAATGATTTTTAATTTATTATTATTTACTTATTTATTTTCTACAGTATACTTCAAGGATGAGAAATAAAATCTATAAAACAGGATAGAAAAATATATTGCTTTACTTCAGATTTTTAGCTATTAAAATTTTCTTTCACACTTTTTGAAATAAGAGGGAATGTCTTACACAGATAAGAATTCATACACAGAGTATTTTTTTTTTCAATAGATTTTTCATTGACTTAATAGGACAAATAAATCACACAGAGTAATCTCTTTATTTTCAATAGATTTTTTATTGACTTGAGGGGCTGTTTTCATGGTGTAATTTGGATATCTTTTTTCCTCTCCTTTTTGTTCTACTACCAAAATTTTTCAACATTCATAAGGAGGATCCACACCTATGTTACATTGTTTATAATCAATAATAGTGTCTTAAGGTATTCATATATTGCTCATTCCATATCAATTCAACACAAGGTCGGAATTTCACCATCTCAGATTTTCTTGAAATTCGACAAAGTTTTACTATTTGTAGAGACTTGAAAAAAAAATTTGGCTGAAGGTCTGAGATTGATGTAATTTTACAGCATTTTAAATGCTCTTTCCAAGGATATACCTAGTTCTGCCAAACACTGTTACAAAAGTTGAACTTTGTTTACATACTTGGGTATAATTTAGATTATCCTTACCTCTATCAGGTTATTTTCTTTACATATCAGGATAATAATCCCAATTAGTTTGTATTTTTCTTTCGTTCAGTTAACATGGTGTGGGGTGATTAAAAAAATCGAATACCTGTGATCGCCTTACACAAAGTTGGAAATTGTAGGTCAGAGATTTTCAACACTTTGAAATCTTTGGTTATCAGCCCTATGTCTGTGTACCGCACTATAAATAGATATGAGACCCTATCAGTTTGTGGCAAACCTCGACCAGGCCGTCTCCACACTGTGAGAACTGCATATAGACTCCGAAAATATTATGTAAATATGCATATGTGGTTTTCATAAATGCTATTATTGGTTATTATTTAATATTTAATTGTATAGATTTCAGCGATATAAATATTAAAATTTGTGTATATAATGAAACTTATACAAATAAAAATATCCACAATGAAATATAAATAAATATAGCGTCTATAATTTTTACTTTCACTTCCCCTTTGTGTGAAAATACTTATTTCTACTAAGAAGAGAATAGTAAGTGAAAGTTGTGTGATGCGCTTACCGCACCAGATTTTTACAATTAAATTGTATTAATATGTTTAATTTAATACATTTATAACACATATTTTAAATTGATTAATGCTGTAAATTTAATTTAATTGGATTGAATTTGTTTATTTTAATTAAACTTTTTCTTTAGGTATAGTTGGATGAAAAATGGAAAACACTTTGATTGGCAAGCGTATGATGATCGCATATCACAACAGCCAGGCCGAGGGACATTAGTGATAAGTTCTCCCAGAGATGAAGATTTAGGTATTCTTTATTTATTGCATATTTATGTTATGATACCTGTTCATTTGATTGATAGACACATCATTATATTCATTTTAATACTTCTATTTATCTTGAAAACCAAGTATAATGTAAACTGTTTTCCATACATTACTATTTATGGGAATTTACTGTCAATTTTGCTATGGTTGGAAATTTATTAGTTGTTTACTTAAATGTCTTCCTTCAGCTTTATTAATTTTGGGAAAGCTAATTTTGTCAGTTGATGTTTTGATGACTGTGTATTGGGTTAGTGGTTGTGATGTTAACTTTAAGATAGGATATCTTCCCTCCGACTGAATACTTTTCTAAATACTCTCTTTTTATCTCCCGTATCTAAACAAATTTATGCCAACTATTGTTATTTATTTTGTCATTTAAATGTCATTGTATATTTGTTAAATTGGCTAGACATTATTTTATTCGGGATTAAAAGAATGAAATTATATGTCCTTTCACAATAAGAAATAACAATAATACAAATTAAACTTGAACACCTTTAACAACAATAGTAATATTACCTTCTATAGCATATTACTTAAAAAAATTGAGATCGAGAAAAACACTTGAATATTATTGTACACTTGAGTGACCTTCTGGGAATTGTTGGAGGCGATCATGGAGTGCTGTGGGTGGCACATATAAATGCCGAATCTTTATTGGCCTATATTGATAAAGTTAAGCTGATTTTTAAAGATAAAGATAAGCTGGTCAAGTTAGCTTGTTTCAACATTATCATTTAGTAGTGTCGGTATTGATGGCTACAAAGTTTATAGGAATGATAGGGTCGGGAAGCCATGAGGAGGTGTAGCATTGTATGTAATGGATGAGTACCCTGTCACTGAGCTCGAAACCTCGGTGTATGTTGAAAATCTGTTTTTTGAGATTTGGACACCTGGTTGGTGTATTTGTATCGGAGTGGTCTACCGACCTCCAAAGGGTGGATGTGGATACTTTTCTGACATTGATGATCTCCTCTCCCGTTACAGATACAAGTATTCCGACATCATACTGCTTGGGGATCAATAATTACCTACCCTTAGGCTGGCTCATTCAATTCAGGCCAAATGACTGCTGTGTTTAAAATGTTAAATTTACATTTGCTCCCTTTCAAAGCCACTTAACATACTCATACCACCGCTGTAAATTCTAAGACTTGGATTGACCAAACATACTCATACCACCGTTGTAAATTCTAAGACTTGGATTGACCACATCGTAGTGTCGGACATTTCTAAAGTGAGGCACCATGGACAAGTTCATGTTCCGGAGATTTCGATACATGACTTCATCTTTGTTCTATATAAGAAGGGCCCCTCATCAAGTAGAATTTCTCCGGTCAAAAGTAGATATTTGAAGAAGATAGATCCTCAGAGATTTAAAATAGATGCACAACAGTTGGACTGGTCAGAGGTATATGACAGCACTGACGTTAATGAAAAGGTTAAATTATACACAAAAAAGATAACTGAGCTCTTCGATAAGCATGCACCTCTCAGGACATATCAAAGACATAGAACGAAGCCCCCTCCAAAAAAGGCGATTCATTGGATGATGCTGCGCAATACAGACGTTACAAAAGTAAAGTAATGACTGCTAAACGTGAGGCAAAGAGGAAAAGTATATCATAAAGTATTAGTAAATGCGCCCCCAATGAAGTATGGAAAGAACTAAGAAACAATCGGGTCATTGACGTCAAGAGGATGGGGATGTTATGTCTGGCCTCGATGAAGTCAATCGATTTTTTGCATCCCATCCCTTGGGCCTTGGTAGTTTGGTCATATATTTTATAATGACAAATGATTGAGCACTTAATAGTGTAATGGCTAGTATCTTACTTTACAATACTAAATTGTCAGGTTCAGTACCGGGTTTCCATCATTCTCTTTTAGTGGGCGGGGTGGCCGAATGGGCTAAAGCGTTGTGCACAGCACCACCGTTGCCCGGCAACCTGATGTATGACAAATGTTATAAAAATTAGTCATGAGTTCGCGTCCCGGTGCCAAGGCGTCTTTTAAATCCCAGCCCACACCCCCTGGCCCAGGAAAACCCCTTATAGCCTTAAAGGCGAGGAAGGGAAGGACGCAAAAAAAAAACCAAAGAAAAACGACAAATGATTATGTTGATGACCTTATTTTTGATGAAATCGATGAGGATGATGTCCGGAGTATCAGGCAGGTGAGGTCGGGTGCAGTTGGAGTAGATGGGTTCTCAAAGAAGATGATCGAGAAGGTGGGGACCACCAATAGCCTTGTCGATATTATAAATGTATCTTTGCAAGTTCCCCGAAGCGTGGAGACAATCGATACTCAGGCCTATTCCTAAAAAATTAAAGCCTGTAACAACTTCGGAATGTGGGCCAATCGCTCTATTGCCCATCGTGTCAAATATACTTGAAAGGAGTGTTGAGAGGTTCTGACTGAAGTGCATAGAGCGATGGACGAACGAATGGTATCACTCGATCTCACTAGGGCGTTTGACTCTGTCGACCACGAAATGTTGCTAAGAAAATTTGTAGGATTTGGGGTAGACGAGTAAGTATTACAATGGTTAAGATCATATTTGATCGGACACATCCAGCAAGTGAGAGCATATACCGATTGCTCGGGGTGGCTGGAGTGCAGCTTGGGTGACCCACAGGGTTCTGTTCTTGGACCGCTATTGTTCCGTGGCTACATTAATGACGTCATGGCTCTGAAATACAGTAAAATCCACATGTTTGCTGATGACATTGTTATTTGGGCTTTTGAATTTCTTGAGACTTTGCTGCGGATTAGTAATGATATTAATTCACTTCAGCTCTGGGCCTTCTCTAACAACTCCATCTAAATTATAAAAAATGCAGCTGGATGCTAATAGGGAGCCCTAAATTGGTTGCAAAAGCCTAGAAGAACATTTTGCTGCCTCACTGATGATTATGGGTAATGTTATACGCCAATCTGGGAAAATGTGAATCCTTGAAGTGATGATTGGTGGCTCTTTATCGTGGCGCAATCATGCTGGTCTCGTAGTGAGCCTGGTATATGGCGTTATGCATTCTCTCTCAAGGTGGAAGAGACTATTGTCGACTGAAGTCAAGAAGATAATTGTATGTGCGCTAATATAATAAAAAGATAATTTCTCCTCCTGGTGTGGTTCTGTGACTCAGTCTACATTGCCATATTAGAATTAGAAGACGCCAGAATACAGAGGGCTCTTAACACCACAGTCCTTTTCATATTTTGTTCAAAAAGAGAAGACCACATATCTTCAAAGTTAAGTGAGTTAAGCTGGTCACGAGCAAAGGACTATAGGAGGCATAATTTAATGTGCCTAGCAAGAAAAGTTTTAGACTCCGGAGATCGTAAGGAAATAAGGATAGGGCTTGTACAGGCACAAAATGATAGGTTACAGGGAACATTTCAGTTGCCGGTTTGCAGTACCGAGATTTTCAGGAACACATTCCACGCTGCGGCGGCGAGGGAGCTCAACCAGCTTCTGGCAGAGGTATTAATGGCGTCCTTCTTCCACAGGGCTTATGTTGGGTGATTCCTTACCGAGGATTGGTCGAGTGCACAATAAATATTCAAAGTTTAGGAACTTTATTGTAGGCAATTATAAGTAATTGTAGGCAATTACTCTCACCCGATAAGCTCTCCCATTTTTATTTTTATTTTATTTTTTCCTTTCTATTCTCTCTTACATTCTACTTATAATTTTATTTTATTTTTTAATACGTACTAACGTCTGTGTTACATATATTTACTAACATTAAAATTAAAATTGTCTGTAAGAAAAGACCATAGGTCCGAAGACAAATAAAAATCAATCAATCTCTCTCTTTCATTCTGTATTTTTATTTTAATTAGCTATTATTTTTTAAATATTTAATTTAATGTATGGCCACACTGGCATTTATTCTGTATTTATAATTTATTGTAAAGGGACTAAATTTCCAGGATAATAAAAAATATTTTCATTTCATTTCACTTAAGGTCTAGGGTAACCATAAATGGAGAACTTGAAAAACCAAGACTAGATCTGCTAAAATCTTTGGAGACTTAATTCTTTATTTGTCTCAATTAAACTTCTCTATTATTTATAAAAAAAGTAAATAAAATATTCTAGGCAAACTTATTGTACAGAAATCCAGTTCTTGAATATTTTGATAAGAAGCCATCCAAGCTGTGAATTTAATTGATTTATTCTCCACATTGAAATATCAAGCTGAACAACTTTCAGATTTGAAAACATTTTTCATATATTTTCTGTGAGAATTCCTTTTAATATCTATGGAAATATTACATTATTTATTTCCATTCAATAATATCAAATTAGACATTATTAACTACAAAAATTAAAGGTCATTAGATTTTCATCAATCACCGTTTTGAATGAAAATTTGTGTGAATGTGTTCATGGAAATTTGTTTTCAACCTGCAAAAATATTTTGTCTGATTTTTTCCTTGAGTTAATCATACAATTTTTTTTTTTTTTATAATTTTGGAGTGATGGTTGACTGTAGTGAATAATTGAAGAGAAAGAGGGTTGAGTGATCAGTCAAAATAAAAAATAGTAAAAATAAATAATTATATTTATTTTTGTATTTCCCGACATTTCAACCCTAAGTTCATGCCTTCATCAGGGCTGGTCAATCCAAGAAGTCAATCCCACACCAATATAAAAATAAAATATAATTTTTTATTTTGACTGATCACCTCTACCATTCTTCTCTTCAATTTTTTTTATTAATCAAATATATCCATTTTGTATTATTACTTAAAATGAGAAACTTACCAAAAAATTAATTCTTGTTATCTAATATTTTATATTAACTGAGATCGCAACAACAAAGGATCACTTCAATATTGTAAATTATTAATGTATTGAAGAGAAGTTGGTTGGGGTTTTCAGGCAATGAAAGTACAAAGTAATGATAAATAAATTATATTTATTTATATTTCTACTACAGTCTATACAGCTGACATCCCATCCCAACCCATCCAAACACCGTTATTACAACCTATGCAGATGACACATGTATCCTATCAGTTCATAACGACCCAACAATTGCATCCCAAACCCTTCAATCCCACATCACAAACCTTGAAGAAGGGTGTGTCAAAACTGGAGAATTAAAATAAATTCCAATAAATCCCATCAAATTACCTTTACCCTTTGTCGTAAACGTATGACTTCCTGTCCTATAGTATCCTTTAATAATACTCCACTTATCCCTGTTGAACAAATCCTATACCTAGGACTCCACCTGGACAAACTTCTAACTTGGAATCCTCATACCAGACTGAAACGACAAGAAACCGCTTGTCATTTCTGACTACTTCAGCACTTACTAGACAAACGCTCTAACCTTTCAATTAATTACAAAAAACTCATATACATGACCATAATAAGACCTATTTGGACTTACGGAGTTGAGCTTTGGGGCCAATTGAATTCCTCTCGTATCCAATCTTTACAATTCAAAATCCTTCGTAAAATCCTTAATGCTCCTTACTTTGTAACAAATAAAATAATCCATAATGACCTGAATGTTCTATATGTTTACGATTTGGCCCAATCCAGATACCTATCCTTCCGTAATAAACTTCAGGACCATCCTAATCCTCTTGTGTCCATCCTAATCCTCTTGTTTCTATCCTAATTATTGTTTACTTGCTTCCTCCTCGATTTCTGATAACCCTCCTAGGAGTCTGAAAAGAAGATGGCCTCGTGATCTCCTAATTTAGAAACTTTATTAGAGTGGTACCAATGTTTAGATTCTCTACAAGCCTTGTTATGTCATGTATTTATCTATGTCACATTTGCTGAATGTATTTTAAATGTACAGTTGTAAATTTCATAAATAATAATATAAAAAAAAAATGTTGAATGTCTACGATATGATTTGATAGATTTCTCTACATCTTATTTTTCTATTTATTTTTAGTATTTTCTTTATACAACTTCCTATTCCTTTTCTTTGTTTTTCATTATTATTCCATGTTTGTCTCACTTCCTCTTAACATATTAGGACATCAACTAATATCAACTACGTCACACTATTAATAATTTTTTTAACACTTACAATTTGTATCTCTTAATATTCCATTTCATTTCTTTGTTATTTGATTTTTCATTTCTTTGTTAATTTCATTAAGTTGTTACCGTTATTTTATTATTGTTTACTTTATCTCTTTATTGCCTTCATTTTATAGCTTCTCAAGTTTGTTCCTAACTTTGCTATTGTTATTTTATATATAAACCGTTAATTAAATTTAATTTTATTTATCAAACCATTATTTTATACTTTATTTTTCATTGCTTTGTTAATGTAATTAAGTTGTTTCTGTTATTTTATTATTTTTCACTTCAATACATTATTACCTTCATTTTAAAACTTCCCGAGTTCGTTACATTATTTCATAAGTTTCTAGCTTTGTTACCGTTATCTTATATATCCTTACTTTACTACCACTATTTTATAAGTTTCAGCTTTGTTATCTAGGCTTTATACTTCCTTAATTTATATACTATATATTTGACATTACTATATACCTACATATTAGACTATTGCTATCAACTATTTTGAATAAGAATGCCTGAAAGAAGAAGGCCTGAAACTTGAGCCGAAACATCAACACAATGGAAATAACAACAAATATAATTTATTTATTTTTACTTTATAATTTCATTGACTGAAAACGCCAACCAACTTCTCTTAAAAATATCTTCTACATTCAATAATTATCCACTTTTAATTAATAATGATAAATTCATCAAAGTATGATATACATAAATTCCTGTTATTTTAGGACAGTATCAGTGTTTTGCTTCCAACGAACTGGGAACAGCTACTTCTAACTCAGTTTTTGTAAGAAAAGCAGAATTAAATTCTTTCAAGGACCAAGCGCCTATTGCTGTTACTGCTCAGGAAGGAGATCCTTTCAAATTGACTTGTCAGCCGCCAGATGGTTGGCCCAAACCAAATGTTTATTGGCTCATTCAGGTATATTATTTATTCAATTTATTTAATTTTAAAATTACTTATTTCTGGGGTTTGTAATGTTTTAAGATATAATTAATGTTTAATGAGAAGGAACTTTTGATACTGCAGTTGTTTTAACAAAATAATTGAATTTTTTTTTATAAATTTTCAAGTATTGTTGAGCCAATACTTTTAATATTGTTATTCCAAGAAAGGGTCGAGGAAAGATATGTTATATAGGAAATTTTGTATATATTTACTTGCTTCCATCAATAATTATATTTTTTTAAACTTATTTATTGAGAAATATCACAATATATCACAATTAAGGACATTTATAATAGTGTTCAGAGAGCGAATTCACCCTCTATTTACAATAAATAAAAATAAATATTACAGAAAAATAATAATACTAAAAGTAACACTATATAAACAAAAGAACTAAACTAATCAAAATAACAACTAAAAAATGAGCATACTTTTATACAATATTTACAGAATCCAGAACTCTGAGACAAGCCTTTCTCCCCACTCGTGGAAGGAAAGGCAGGACTCTAGGAGATCCCAGCACCTCTCACTCAGTCGCATTACTGGTATTAAGGACCAGTTGAGGCTGAGAAGAAGCGCAATAATAACACATTCATGGCTTGAGTGGAGAATCTGGCCATTGCCAAAACTCCAATATATGCTTATTCACTAAAGATCATGGACCACTGCCATGTCAACCTTCGAGGAGGAATGAAGGGATGGGTGGAACTAGATAGGGATTGTGCAAGGGAATTAGCATGATATGTAAGGTTCTGATGAAATTCTGAGAATTTTTTTGGGATAAGGTCTAGGACAAATGGGATATTAAGGTTATAGTGTAAGGTTTGATTGGTTACATAGAATGGAGGATCAACTATTGTTTGAAGGACTTTAGATAGAAAGGATTGGATGTGTTTGATGTTAGAAAATTTTGCTGTTGCCCACAGTTCAAGTCTGTATGTCCTTATAGGTTTCAAGATTGTCTTGTAGATAAGTAATTTGTTTTCAATAAAAAGTATAGATTTTATGTGCAGTAGTCTGTATAGTTGACTATATCGTTGGTTGAGTTCTTGTCTTTTGAGTCTAGTATGTGGGTCCAAGTTAGTCTTCGGTCTAAAAGAAAGCCAAGATACCGGACTGTGTCTGAGAAAGATAGCTGGATGGAATTAAAGTATACTGGTGGACAGGAATTGTGTCAGACTGTAAAGGTAATATGGTGGCATTTGGATTCATTTACTTTAATGTGCCAGTTATTATACCAGTGCTCAATCAAGGAGAGATGCCTTTGCAAATTTGAGGATGCTATTTCGGGATCACAGTTGTATGATAAGATTGCGGGGTCCTCAGCGCATGTTGCAAGGAAGGTATCGGGATGAACAGAGATGTCAGTGGTAAGTAGGATCTAAAGCACGGGACCTAAGACACTGCCTTGGGGAACTCCGTCTTTAATGAAATAGATATTGGAAAATTCTGTTCCACTGTGAACTTGAAAAGAGCGGTTAGAGAGGTAGGATAGGAGGACTAGATACAAGGACTGAGGTAAATGGATTTTAAGCTTAAAAAGCAATCCGGCTTGCCATACCCAGTGAAATATCCAGAAATGCACCCAAACAGTATTCCTTGTTTTCTGGAGCCGATGAAATATGATCAACAACTCGGAGTCCTTGTTGAACAGTAGAATGTTGAGAAAGAAAACCAAACTGATAAGAAGAAAGATTATGGGAATTAATAATAGGTAGGATTCGTTTCAAAAGTGTCTTTTCTAAGATTTTAAAAATAATTGGAGATAGACTAATTGGTCTATAGGATGTCAAGCTGTTGGGAGGTTTGTTTGGCTTTGGGAAAAAGATGACAGTGTTATGTTTCCATAACAGAGGAAAGAATCTCCATTTTTATCCCCAACTCCTATCAGGTGCTTTAGAATGATAGAGAAGTGATGGAATCTACTCTGATACCAAGAGACCCCCGACCACCACCGATATTCGTTAAAAACATTTTTAAAAAATCAGTTATTATACTCTCAACTAAACAAAAACAGGCTCTGGAAGCTACCCACGTCTGAGCAGAACAAAGGACACTAAGATATCAACAAATACAGCTGAAACCTACAGAAAAATTGTTAAATATATAACAGAAACCAAAGTGGATTTTCATACGTGTCAATGTTGGCTAGAGTGAGCTTTAAGAGTAGTTATAAGAAATCTACACTCCTCAACACCAACCGAAGCAATAGTAGAAGAACTGAAATATTTAGGTTTTATAATGTGCCAGATAACAAATGTACTGAAAGATAGTAAAGAATATCCAGGAGTAAAATTTCCTATACCCTTATTTTTTGTAGACTTGGAGGAATTTCAAGGGATCGAAAAAATATACGAAATAAGAGGAAGTATTGTTATGGATTTACGGGTAATCTGGGAAATGTGGTTGTTCTAAGAGAGGTTCAAAGATCACTCTGAGGGTTTTGACTGTCGGAAAGAAATGGATGAGGATTATTGAGGTAAAGTAGAGGAGAGAAATGATTGGAAGTAATAAGATGTCTGGAGCCGATGAAGGTAGCCTTGATTTATCTGCGTTCAGCTTCAGTTCATTTTTTTCTGCCCATCTGTGGATATAGTCAATATCCTCTTGTATTTTTTGGGCATCTGAGATGGTTAGACAATAAATAAATTTGTAGATCGTCTGCATATAAGTGATAGTGGGAGTGACGATTGGAGTCAGGAAGGTCGCTAATATAAATGGAGAAAAGAGTTAGAGAGAGTGAGGAGCCCTGCGAAACACCTTTTGTTAATTGAAGGGATGAGAATGCAGATTTGTTAGGAATAACAACTGTATGGGAGGGATGGTTAAAAAGGAGAGGAACCATTTTAGAATGCTATCCGATATGGGCAGGCTTTGGAGTTTAGAAATGAGGACATTATGATTGACAGATTCAAAGGCTTTTGAGAAGTTGAAAAGGGCTAAGCTTGAGATTTTCTTTTTGTCTATGAATGATTGGAGGTCTTGGCTAATCTTTAACAAGGCAGATCGAGTGGAGTATTAGGAACAAAAAACAGATTGTAGAGGATTGAGGAGACAGCTTAGATCGAGGAAGTTATTCAACTGAGAGTGAACTAATCTTTTTAGAGGTTTAAATAGAATGGACATGGGTCTGTAGCTGGAAGCTATTGAAGGAGCAGGAACTTTGTTCAACAGCCGGACAGTGACTTTTTTCCAGGGAAAATATAATTTTGTAGGGAAAATTTGTAGATATGTAGCAATATAGGAAGTAAGTTTGGAAGGCAGAGTTTGATGATTTTCACAGGTATTTGGTCAGGACCATAGTTGTTGATTTAAGGATAGTAGAAAGTAGGTCAGTTGGATAAATATCAAGAAAGTAAAACTTATCTGGGTCAAAGGAGCTTTCAGTGAAGGAAAAAGGTGAGAGGTCAGATTTGAATACTGAATGAAGATAATTTGCGAAAAAGGAATTTAGTTCGTTCGGGTCTACTGGATAAAGTGTACAAGTTTTAGAGGTTATGACAGAGAAGTTCCTGAAGATTGTCTATTTGGATTTAGGATTAGGTGCTTGGGATAATACATTGTTAAAGTATTGTGCTTTGGCTCGGTGTAAGTATATTTGTGTGCTGTTTCTTAGGGATTGGAAGATAGTATAGTGTTGGGGCAGCCGTGTACATCTGTATCATCTTCTCTTCTATAGCAGCCTCTCTTCCTCTCATCAACTCTCTAATTTCTGAATTTATCCAAGGAGATAAGATCAGAAGATGAGAGAAAGGAAACAGGATTGATAATATGAATTTCAATTAACTTTGATCATCCCCTAAATTTTGAGATTTTATATTTTGTTGGTCATTCACTAAAGAAGATCTGCAACAATTTTGATCATTTATCAAAACAGATTTGCTGAGTTCAATGTATTAAAACTGTTTTTATATGATTAGAAATCATAATTATTATTTTAAATTAAAAATTAAAACGATAGTATCCTACCTTAGTCTTATGTCTACATGAGCATATAGGCTATATTAAATAGTTTGTGTTTGTTTCTTCTTTAATTTAATATTCCATATCATAAGGATAAGTCCACCTATTGTTTTTGATACTTCACCACTACTAGATATTTCTATTTTTGTTGCCAAGTTTCGCACTTGAATAATGTAAGCATAAAATTTTACTTATAAATCTGAACAGAATCAATATAATTATACTGAACTGTTACAATTAATAATCAGTTTATGGTGAACCAACGTAGCAATTTTTATGTAGATATTTAGTTTTTATATATCCAGTAATTTAGTAATAGTTGTTATTTTCTTTGGGTTGAAATTAAAGTATAAGTTTTTTATTGCTACTTTAGTATGTATATAATATATCGTTTATTTTACAAACTTTCCAGACTCTGGATGGTAACATTAAAAGTATTAATAACTCTCGTATGACTGTTGATCCTGAAGGAAATTTGTGGTTTACTAATGTAACTCGTTATGATACGAGTGATGATTTTAATTATGCTTGTGCTGCAACATCATTATTCAGGTAACTAAAATATGAAAAATCTGTTATTCTTTTGAACAAAATTATTATGTTACGCTCTTATTTTTCTACTTAAACAATAGGGTTTACATACCCTTGTCCTTACACATGAAAAAAAAATATCTTAAATTAATTTTATTTTAGTATATTATTTATTTTCTAGAAATGAATATAAAATTGGAAATCGTGTAAGATTAAATGTAGTTACTACTGGTGCTTCAGCTGCACAGAATAAACATGCTCCTGTAGAGCAATATGTTTCAAGAAAAAATGAAGTTGCTTATCGTGGTTCTAAAATAGAATTGTATTGTATTTATGGAGGGACGTAAGTATAGATTTATATTTACTTTCTAAATAGTTTACTTAAAATAATTTGAGTAAGAAGGTGGTCCGGGATGGTCATAAAAAGACTAAAATAATAACAAACTAAATTATTTAAAGCCAATGTTTCGACCTGGCTTTGCTGGTCTTCAGGGCTAGAATGAACAAGACACAAAAGGCTGTAGAACAATGTTACATAATATTTAGATAAAAAATATAAACAATGTGAATAAACTTACTAAAATTATACACAGTGTGAATAGCAAGTACAAAGAAATATTAAGAACAATAAACTATATAAACAGAGCAAACGGTGTATAACTAAATAACTAGACCCTAAACTGAAGAAAATAATTGTTAACAATTATTGTAGATTATTGGAAATAGGGAAAAATTGAATGTAATAAGGAGCATGGATGATATACGCAATAATGGATATAACCCATAGATCTCAAGGAATTGAAAGAAAAAAGAAAACTAATATAAAACAGGTCATAATGGACATAAAATGAGTGTGAAATAGACAAAAAAAAAAAAATTAAAAATAGAGACTTACGGTTGTATGCAGCTGGGAGTTTCTGTTGAAACTGAGGAAACATGAGTGGGGGGAGGGAGAGTGGGAAATATAGTTGACCTGCTAGGGGAATGGTAGAGGTAAGTAGTGATTTCCGAGAAGGTAGTAAAACAAAACAGAAACAAGGAATATTACATTATCTAAAATTTGAAGATATTGATGGATACAAAAAAAAGTATATAATATCTATGAACCTAATTAGTTATAAATTATACATATACATACAAGGTAGATTAAGAAATTATAAATAAAAGTACAATGTACAATGTAGTTTACCGGATACCTTGCTCTACTCCTAATTGCAATAGTTCCTATCTTGGCGAAATTAAAAACTATCTCCGAACCCATATTTCCCAACATAAAACATCCAAAACTTTCCGGAACCCTTCCGCCTCCTATCAGAACATGGCTTGACTCTCAACCATTCATTTGATTTTGAAAAAAACCTCTATTCTTACCATGGTCCCCAACCATGGAAAAAAACTCATTTCCGAATCCATCCACATCCACATAAAACTGAATCTGGTTAATCATAAAGTGAATAAAAATTGTATTTCTTTAACATACAGAAACATTTAAAATCTAATAAGTAAAAAATAGCTTCTCTATTTTCAATTTTATTGATTAACTTAATTTATCGTTCTTTAAATTTTAATTATTTCAGTATTGTATGATCTCTCCTGTTATTTTTATATTTACACTCTACATCTATGTACAACCATCCGCTGTTATTTTGTATTTATTGTACCTTTATCTGTAATTTCACAATTTTATCTTATATTTAAATGTATATTGTACATAGGTGTGAATGTTTTTTATTTATTTTATTATCATTCGGCTTTAATCTGTTATTTTACTTATCTTGTGTATTACTTTATCTTTTTATTTATATACATATCTTTTTTTTTTCTCTTCTTTCTTGGTTATTTTTATTTATATTCCTTCCTATGTACATATTGTGTGAATGAATACTATAGCCCTAGTGCCAATGCCCTTCAGTGTGGCAGGCTGTATTAATACTCAATCAAATAAATAAAAAAAAAATGAAATTCTTTCTTTCTTACAATACGTACAACTAGTTCCAATTCTAACTATTTATATTAGTTTCTTGTTTACACTTTTGAATTAGTTCTGCAGTGTACGGTCTTTCATTTTTGTACTTTTATTTATAATTTCTTAATCTATCTTGTATGTTTATGTATAATTTATAACTAATCAGTTCATAGATATTGTTTTTGTTTTTTTTATCCGTCAATATCTTCAAACTTTAGATATTGTAATATTCCTTATTTATGTTTTGTTTTACTACCTTCCCGGAAATCACTACTTACCTCTATCATCCCCCTACCAGGTCAACTATATTTCCCATTTGTTTTTCCTCTCTCCCTCCCCTTTCATGTTTCCTCAGTTTCAACTGAAACTCCCTGCTGCATACAACCGTAAGTCTCTATTTTTAATTTTTATTATTTCACAATCCCTTTATGTCCATTATTACTTGTTTTTTTTTATTATTTTTCCTCTTTTCTTTCAATCACTTGAGATCTGTAGGATTATATCCATTATTGCCTATATCATCCATCTTATTATATTAAATTTTTAACTATTTCCTATAATCTGCAATAATTGTTACCATTTATTTTCTTAAGTTTAGGATCTTGTTACTTAGTTAAGTTAAACTCCTTTTACTCTGTTTATATAGTTTATTGTTCTTAATATTTCTTTGTACTTGCCATTCACACTGTATCTATAGCCTTTTGTATCTTGTTCATTCTAGCCCTTAACAAGACCTGCAAAGTCAGGAAACATTGGCTTTAAATAAAATAGTTTGTTACTATTTTAATCTTTTTATGACTGCTACCCTGGGCCATCTTTTTACTCAATAATATACCACAGTCAACCATCAAGTATTCACTAAAATAATTTGATCTGTAATCTTATTTTTTTATTCACCATCTCTCAAAAAAAATTCAATGTTTTTATTTTTGTTTGCTCCGAAATAAGGGTTGCACCGCAGCCTCAAAAAGGCCTATTGTGCGTCGTCCTAAACTCAGTTAAAACAGACCAGATGCCATTATGAACCTATTGATACTTTTAGGATCAATCATTTCACAGTGCTTAGGGTCAGTAATATGATCAGATCCAAAATGAAAGTATTGCAGTTTAACCAAATTATCACATCTACAAATAATGTGATAGGCAGTTTCATCCTCCAGGTCACATAACCTGCAGGTTGAGGTCTTACTTACACCTAAATTGAAAAGGTGCTTATTTAATTGACACTGACAGTCCTGTCACCCGCCTATCTGTATTCCTGTCCATTATAAGAAGTGAATTACTTTTCTTATGGCAGTACCCTTCTAGGAATAACTTAAAATGGATTTGTTTCCTAGTCTGTACCCAGTGTAGCATAAATTTATTGCCCACGATCGCCTTAATATGTCTTTTGGCAAAGCCAAGGCTTATCCCACAAATATGCTTTGCTGCAACCTGCATCTGTGCAGAGCCTTTCCTAGCAAGATAATCGGCTTTCTCATTTCCTGGAATGCCTGATTGCCAAGGTACCCATTCTACTCTCTCCTTGTTAATACTACAAAGAAGGTTAAGATTGCTTTTGCATTCATCCACCAGCCTTGAGCGACTTGCATATCTATTCAGGGTCCCAATTGCCGCTTGACTATCCGTATATATTGTTATCGATCCAATCACAATGCCCTCCTTATAAGTGATTAAGCACAGAAATCAAAGCCTAAAATCTCATCTTGAAAGACGAACATATATCTACCTTGAGATATGAATGTTCCCTCTTTAGGTTTATCCTTACTCCTGATACTTGTCCCTGATCCCTGCTCAATTAAGGAGCCGTTGGTATAACAGTTAACTCAATTACATGGTCTATATGAGTTACTCCTGCTTATGTTCAAATTATATAATATATCCTTATAATTATCAACTTGAAGGTCAGGATTCATCGCAAGCATCTCATTGCTATCAATCCTATTAAAAACGATCCCATAGCCCTGAAGCGTCAGGAATTTTGATCTTGTTCCCTGTTTATCCAATCTATAGGCAGTGCTCAGAGAGCATATGCTTCTACCTCCAAATGCAATGGTATCAGATTTAAAAAACCTCCATTGCAGTAGTGGGAGTAGTGCTCATCATATCTTCTACAATGCCTCACCTTTGAATTTATTACACTGTTAATTTTTTTTTTCTGTTGCCATTACAGACCACGTAGGTCTTTTGCCGCCTTAACAAGTCTGCTCCATCTCAGCCTGTCATGGGCTATTTCTTTCCATTTATCTGCATGCATCTTTGTTGATTCTATCTATCCATCTGCTTTTTGGCTTTCCACGTGGTCTTTTGCCTTTTATTGAGGCATTCATGTTATATAGAGGCTTCCAGATGGATTGTTACGAGCTACATGCTCTGCCCATCTTAACCTCCGTGCCTTCATATCATGGGATATTGATTGACCAGTTTCTTTAAGCAGTTCTTTATTTGTCTTTCTTCTCTATGTGTTAGTACTTTGAGTAACTTTGCAGAGGATTTTCCTCTCAAATCTTGCAATACTATTTTCTAGGGTGCTGATTAGTTTCCAGGTCTCTCAGCCATATATTATAATTGTCTTTATCATAGCATTGTACACCCCTAGTTTAAGATTTTTCAGGATTTCAATACCTTTGAGAGGGAGAAGAAAGCTCTGTTTGCACTTGTTATACGCTGGTCTATTTCTACTCGTTGGTCATTCATTGAGTTCATTTGGAGGTGGGGTATTTGAATTTTTCTACTCTTGGGAATGATTTTCCTTCTACGCAGACCCTGTAATTGGGATGGACTTTTCGGCTTATTATAATATATTTTGTTTAGTTTTCAGTTACTTGTAGGCCGATCTGCTCTGCCTCTCTTATCAGTCTTGTAGTGAGTTTCTCAATATCTTCTTGATTATTTCCAAGGACAGCTATATCATATCCAAGGATTTTATGATTCATTCCAACGTAGACCCCCTCCATTTTCCTGTGTTGTTGCTCTTTTTACCTTCTCCAGGGCTAAGTTGAACAACATCGGTGATAGTCCATCGCCTTGCCGTAAGCCCGTTCGAACTATGAAGGCTTCAGATAATTCTCCTTGTATTAGGACTCTACATTTGGGGTCATTTGTACACACCTTTGTCAATCTCACCAACTTAATGGGATTTCCCAGTTCAGCCATGATTTTCCAAAGACAGCTCCTGTCCACAGAATCATAGGCTGCTTTGAAATTGAGAAATAGGGCGTGGACGTCCTGAGCTACTTCCCATATTTTTTCGAGTACTTGTTGTAGGATGAAGATTTGGTCTAGCGTGCTCCTCCCTTTTCTGAATCCAGCTTGGTGGTTGCCTATTGTATTCTTGTAATACGGATATATCTGGTTTAGTAGGATGTTGATCATTATCTTGTAGGCTACCGGAAGGAGTGCTATGTCTCTGTAATTACTACACTCATACATGGAGCCTTTCTTTAGGATAGGACAGATTAGGCCCATATTCCAAGCCTCAGGTATTCCTTCCTCTTCCCATATTTTCTGGATTAGTTGTAGTAGCTTGGCTCTTAAGTCATCTCTTCCATCTTTAAACAGTTCTGATGGTAGGTTGTCTATCCCTGGGGCCTTTTTTGTTTTGTGCCTTTCGATGGCTATTTCTACATCCAGTATATCTGGTATCTCAACCTCTTCCTTCATCCTTTTCGCATGCTTCTGAACCATCTGAACCATTTCTTAGCTTTTCGTTTCTCCTGAATACCGATCACTTCCTTATCTGTTTCTTTTAGTCCTTTCTGTATTTCCTCCCAGTGTTGGTCCACCATGAGGCTATCTGAATCCAAGAGTTCGAATTTATTTTTCAGTTCAAGTTGGAATTTGGTTTTTACTTCAGGATTTTTCAAATAACGGACTTTATACCTCCTTCTTTCCACTCCATCCCTTGTGTGAATTCGCTTCAATCTCTGGCATAGTTTAATTTTAATCAGAGAGTGGTCCGAATCACAGTCTGCTCCACGATAGCTTCTTACGTATTGAGCTCTGATGTCTCTTGTCTACCAGCACATGGTCAATTTGGTTTTTCACCCCTTCAGGGCTAACCCAGGTGTACTTGTGAATATACTTGTGTAGGAACATTGTACTGCTGATGACTAGACCTTTAGCTGCCAGACTGATACATCTCACTCCATTGTCATTGCTATTTTCTCGAAGGCTATGGCGTCCGACAATGGGCCTGATTTAGGGTTCGTGTTCTATCTTTGCATTAAAGCTGCCTATGACTAATTTTATGTCATGCCTATGAGCTTGGTCCACAATATTTCCGAACTGATCGTAGAAATCATCCTTCACCTCTTCATCCTTAAGTAAATTTTGTCTAGTTTACAATGAAGCCATTGTTAATTACTTAAGTTAAATATTTCTTTGGATTGGGGTAATTCGGTGGTTGGGTACTGATCTTCCAATGCTGAAGGCCCCAGGTTCGAATCCCGGCTCATGGTAGAAAAATAGTTTATTCTATTTCATCAGCCGTGGGGCAACCCTGGGGTCAGGAGACCTTCCTGAGGCATACCCAGCCTCTGTAAAGTGGGTACCCTTAATTAAATAATTAATTAAGGGGGAAAATCTGGTGGTTGAGCGTGATCTCAGTCAAATCACCTCCTTGCACAACTGTTAACTAAGAAACAGTACTTTTCCTAAATAGTACTGAACCCGAAACCCTTCATGGGTTGTAGTGCTACTAAATATTTCTTTATTTATTGCTTTTTATTCAACAAAAAGCGTGACTTACTTAAGAAAACACAAAACTCGGATTTTCTACTGAAAATTGGCCCATTGTTTATATGAACTTTTTCATAGCTCTTAAGGTCTGCTGTCACTCCTTCAAAAATTACCCTCTACTTACGGGACACTCTGTGTATTTATTATTATATTCTATTATTAAGGTTTCATTATTATTATTTTTTCTTCTAAATTTTATGAGAATAGGTACACTTATCTCTATTACTACCTCCCTTTAATATGGCTGTTTGCATGATTTGATGTTAATTTTCAGTTATTAATAATTGAAAAAAGAAAAACCTATGCTTTGTCCATTTGTTTGTCAATTATTTAGAATTCAGTTTATCAGTATTTATTTTTATGTTTCAAAATTTTAGGCCCCTTCCACAAATAGTATGGAGTAAAAATGGTAATAAGATACATCTATCTGAAAGAGTCACTCAGGGGAATTTCGGTAAAAGTTTAATAATCAAAGCTGTGCAATTTGAAGATCAAGGAAGTTATACATGTGAAGCAAGTAACGGTGTTGGAGAAGCCAAATCCTATTCAATAGATTTACGTGTTATGGGTAAGTTAATTTTTTTTTAAATAATTGTTGTTTTTTTGTGATTTGCTTTTTTAAAATTTAATTACTAATTATTTTTTTAGCTGTTCCCTATTTTACTGAAGAACCAGAGATTATTAATGCTGCGGAGGATGAAACTGTTGAACTTCGGTGTGCAGCCTCTGGTGTTCCTGAACCTCAAATAAAATGGATTCATAATGGACGTCCATTAAATGAAGCACCAACTAATCCAAGGCGTAAAGTTACCCAAAACTCCATTATTATTGAAAAGTTAGTTAAAAAAGATACTGGAAATTATGGTTGCAATGCAACTAATAGTTTGGGCTATGTTTACAAAGATGTTTATATCAATGTTCAAGGTAAGATTTAATTTGTTTTTCCTTAACATCATTTGAATTATTAAATAATTTATGTCTAGAATTATCAAATTATGACACTAATGCCTTTCATTATATTAGATTAATTTTGAGCTTTTTTTATTGTTTATTATGTTATTCAACTGTTAGTGCTCTAAAGACCAGTTTATTTTTTCTTGAATGGATCGTAAAGGATCTTGATTGTAGTTAACTTTGTTTTTCAAACACCAGAGGGGATAACCACAGGCTGTATAAACCAATTTACATGGTCAAATTTTGTTAACAAAGTTAAGATAAAGACATTTTACTTAACATATTTTTTTGCTAATTGTCCCAGGAAAGTGACCTTACTTTGCAAATTTATTTTTAAATCAATGTCATATGTTCTAAGCAAAACCCAGACTTTTATGCTGTAAAAACCCGCATAATATGATGTATAATTTTGTATTTTGAGCATTGTAAGGTCCATCTGAGATTTTATACTTAAAGAAAATGATTTACTCATTTACTATTTTAAATAATAATGAGTATTATAACTAAAATTAAAACTGATTGTGGTATTTAAGTTGTAAGAAGGGGGATGGAAAGACAGATTAATTTATATTAATTTATTGTTGTTTAGTTCATTAAAAATGGATCTATGATTGTAATATGGAATTTCATTTTATTTAAAAAAAAAACAAAAAAAAATTAAAATATTCAATTATATTAGTTTATCATTATATATAGAAATTAAAATTTGGTTACCTGCATTTAAGTATGGTTACCTGCAATGATTTGTAAAACTATTTGATCAATTTTTACTTTCACTTACCTATATATTTGATATATAGTAAGGGAATGTATTGCGATTGTGAACATTTTCGAATCTGAGTTTTCAACGGAAAAAACAAGTTTTAAAGGTCTCAATGTACCCTTAAAGTCCAAATAACCAAGTCCCTCAAATTAATATTACATATTTAAGATATGTATATGCCTTAGATGTGACAGCAACTTTTTACATAATATCGGCTAACCAGAAGTGCCACTTTATATCAATGGTGAAATACATTTTTACAATTTTCTCAAAAACTCCTCTAACAATTTTGATTAAACTTGGTGTATCATTGTATAATTTTATGTTCTTTAGTATAATTTAGGTCTTATCCCCATTGATGTCACTTTACAGAGCTTAAATGCCCAATGTTCGTTTACGTCTTCCTCTAAAGTATCTTTAATATGGTTTATTTAAAAAAAAAAAAAAATTTTATTGACAGTAAATATAAAAAATGGCTAAATATAAATAAATATAATTGAAAACTGAAAAAAAAAAAAAAAAAAAATGCTTATCCAGGTTGAAAATGAATCTCCGGAAATAACAGTCAGAAGGTATACGTATAATATATAGTTGAAAAGCTGAGAATTTTAGAAAAAAATAATATGAAATAAATAAAGTTGTAAAAGGTAACTGAGAGTGACGAAAAAAGTATAAATAATAATTTCAGAAAACTAACATTATTTAACTTAAATCAATGTTTCCAAAGAAATTAAATGAAATTGTTTTTACTAAATGTAAACTTTTCAAATTTTTTTCTAAGCTTGAGAAAAAAGTATTTACGTTTAACCAAATCAAGGCAATGTCATTGTTTAAAATACTATTTCATTGTACTTGTATGAAAGAATAAGTGAAATATAGAAATATTTCATGGATATGTTTATAACCTTAAATACATTTACTGTAGTTTCATAACTCTAAACATGATATTATATTTAAGTAATTAGTTATCTATTGGCTGTTTCTTCCGAAAAATCATCAAGTAACCTTTTAGAAAATTAAATTTATCTATTTGGTAAGTTATCTATTGGCCGTTTCTTCCAAAAATCATCAAGTAAACTTTTAGAAAATTAAATTAGTGAGTGAATAATTTGATGAATTTTCCCTTTGTGAAATCCCAACATTATCTATTTATAATTAGTGTGACAACTTTTGACCTATCCATTGCAGGCATTGAAAATCTCGTAATATCATTTCAGTAAACTTTACAATGAAAAATAACAGTTTAATAACTAATAGTCCTACAATCTATAATCATTTATAGGTTAAATAGTCATGTGTATTTTCAAATCTCTATGCATAAATGAGCCTTTCGGTTGACAGAATGACTAACTCCAATTTCAACATTCTTTATTATTAATTTTATTGATATTTCTAGTGACAAAATGTATACCTTTATTCACACTTCTACATTTCAACACTGCAATCACCTACTCTGGAATAAACTTACTCACTGTCTGTATAGATCTTTTCCAACTTTAAATATCACTGAAATGACATTACTCAAAAATGTTGAAATTGGAGTCATTCTGTCAACTGAAAGGCTCAGAGACTGAATTTGTGTGCTTTATAAAAGCAGATGGAGTAACTATGTTTTACACCAGATTTTTTAAATAATGCTTACAATTCTAAATATGCAGTTGCATAAAAATTTGGGCTCTGATTTTAAGTTTAGTTTTTTGGCATTATATAACTTTTCTGTGATTAATTATAATTATTATGTAATTAATCTTGTTCAAATTAACATTCAGTTACGTTAGATCATATAAATTAAAAAAAAAAACATCTTCACATACAAAGGTATTAATAACTTTTTATTAAGATACAACTATTTACATACATTTTTAACTTAAAGTAATTATCTCTCCCCTAAACTTTTGTTAATTTTATAACTTGATCATAGTTCCATCCCGATATTTTGACTTTAATTAGAAAAGTGCTAAGAGCACAGTAACAATGACAATGACACAATAGGTTTACACGGTAAAGTTTCTTGACCTAAGTGGGTTTATTCAATATGTTTAACACAATTAACTATGTAAACTAGGTTTTATAGTTTTTATAGGTCACTAATCTGAAAAAAAAAAATGTAAAGCCTGTAGCTATAAAAAATTCTGAGAAACATTTTGTTCTCAATGTTGTATAATGCTCTTACTAATGAAAACTATATACAGTAAACCCTCTTGACTTGAAGCTCAAATATAAAATGACCTTTGTCAAAAGAAAACCAAAATCTAATCCCCATGAAAAATGCATTGATTTTGCTCTAGTACCTTCATTTTAACGAACTATTTCTTTTAAGTTGAACTGCGAGCTACTTTTTTTATCTCTAGTAAGAAACAACTATGCAACAGCGAACTATAAAAACATTTTATAACATATCTTCAATTTATCATCATATTGTTAAAGTTTAGGATCTTTAATTGTAATCAAGTCCCTTGTACTTAATTATTATTTATTAACAATTAGCATTGATAATGGTTTTATGAAAATATTCATTGATTACATGAACACTCAAAATGGTTTTTCTTCTTCGCTATTTTAGCCAGAATTCAATAAATCCTATTAATAATATCATTAAGGTTTCCCTCTTTTTCATAAAGTTTTCAAATCATAAATTATCAGCTCAGTTTAGTAACAGTCAAGTTAAAGAAATATTAATATTTGTTATTTGAATAAACATGTAAAAAAAAAAAAAAAAAGTGATATTTCTCTATTATTAAATTACTATTCTCACAACGTGTAGAATAAATAATATGAATAAAGAAAAAATAAAACATCGTGGAGAAGCTAGCAAATCACAATTCAACATTATTGACATGATATGCGTATGACTAGTAGTCTAGTAAAGTTAGAGAAAAAAACAGCCTTACCCCAACATTCAAAAAATAAAGATGAAACTTGTCAGAAATAGTTTAATGCCCTGCCCATAATAACTGGTAAAAAGTTCCAAAGAATCCCGCATGAGGGTTTTGATAAGGGAAAGGAAGGAGGGCAGAAAACTGATATTTTTTTAGTTTTATGAGAATATCTCTAAAACTATGAGGTTTTTTTTGCAAAATTTGTTTTGTGCAATATTAAAGTATTTTAACATGAAACATAATATTTACAATTGACGCATGTAAATTGCTTTGTTTTTTTAAACCATTTAAAGGATTATACCTTATATTTTTTTCACACCTTATATTTTTTTCACATTATTTCTTTTTTTGATTTATTTTATTTTGGCCAGATGTAATATTTCAATTTGTTCTATTTTGTTATTCTCAAGGGACTGTGTCCCAGAATAAAGTTATTTTTCTATTAAAAAGGAAACTTTTAAACAGTTGAAGTACGGTAAGTTCGGTTTTTCCTTGATTTGAGGATTGTTTGCGATTTTTTTTCATAACCACTTAACTGGACTGGAGATTCCATACTTTTAGAAAAACATTCTTGTCTGATGAGCTATAATTCTATATTAAGTTGAGGTTTGTTAAAGAGTGAGTTTAGATTCTACCTCAAAGAGGAATTATTTGTCTCGATTATCAGCATTTTTTTCTGATAATGAAAATTCCATCAATTTACTTCCTTAGTTATCTACATAACTGTTATGGTCTTAAAGCTCCTCAGACAAGGAAGTTTTTCTAAAAGTGTGGTATATCCAGTCCAGTTAGGTGGTTACGAAAAAACTCACAAATGGTACTTGATTTTATGAAAAACCGAATATACCGTAGATTAACTGTTAAAAAGTCCCCTTCAAATGGTTTCAAAAAAGAAAAAAAATTACTTCTGTAATTTAAATTTTATTTTGTTTACTATGAAGTTTCCTGGTTCCCTGTATGTAATCAGACCATGGTTTATAGTTAATTTTTATAGATTTTAAGGTTGTAAGGTCTGCTATAACATATTATCAACTATATGAAATAAATGTCAATATAAACTTTATTTCAATATCATTCCCCATTGATTGATATTGTCTATAATTCTGTTATCAATGGCTTCTTAGAATTATCAAAACAAAAAAACTTTTAATAGTAATTTAAACGATCTAAAATGTTTATAAAACTAATTAAACTTCAAAATAGTATCATCTGCTATGAACAACATCAATTTCATGGTTTGGAATAAGTTTTGCTTAAAGTTGAGATACGATAAATATAATGTCATAAATATCTCCATAGCCATTGATTTCATAAAAAAAATGAATAGGGTAATTTTTATAGAGATGTTAAAGTACTTAAATATTATACTGAACAATCTTTGAGAATAACCACATAGTTTTGGAGATATTCTGATAAAACTACAAAAATATCAGTTTTCTGTCCTCCCCCCTCCCCCCATCAAAACCCGATGCGGGATTCTTTGGGACTTCTAACCAGTTGACAGGTTAATGGGGGGGAGGGCTACTGAACAATTTCTAACAAGTTTCATCTTCATTTTTTTAATGTTAGGGTCAATCCCTAATTTTGCTGGACTATAGTTAAGGTTTTAATAAATAATAATATAAAGTGTTATACATACTGTTTTTTTATTTAAAAAATAATCTAAGCTACTAAACTACTAATTTGTGTTTTATTTAGATATTACAAACTTTATTATAACGAACTATTGAATTTCTTGTCCCTTGTTTAGAGTTTGTTCAATCATTTAAACGATGATAAAACAATGTTGCTGCCCAAGACATAGGAGTCTGAGACTCATGAATAACCTTATCACTGTTACCATGTTAAATAATAAGTAAGCTACTCATGTTATGGAAACATTTTATGTTTAAATAACAGGTGAATGATGTGTACGGATTTATTAATTATAACCTCTATACATTATAACACGAATTGACCTCTTCTTTTTTTTTTCTTCTTTGAACTGTTGTTTCATTATTTGTTAGATATTAGATATTAACCAAGTTATTTACCATTCATTTCTATCAGTTTCATATCCTTATTTAATTTTTATTTATTATAGATTTTGATTAATTATTTAAAGTTTTATGATTAAATATATTCCTTTTATGCTATTATAGATACAATCAACACTCATTGTTGTAGTTTTATTGATTAATTGTATTTGGGGTATTTCAGCTCTTCCACCTGAAATAGTGGAACCTCCTAAAGATAAACAAGTTGTAGATGGTAAAACAGTTAAACTTACCTGTCGAGTTTTTGGTGCACCTAAACCAGAAGTAAAATGGGATCGACAAGGAGTAGAATTGACTGGTGGAAGATTCAGTGTTCTTCCTGAAGGAGATCTCGAAATTAGGTGTGTTTTGATCGTTGTTATGCTTCTAATAACTAATTTTTTCAGATTCTTTCAATAACATTTGATGTTAGTTGATGTAAAAAATAGAATTGGATTTTGTAGTTGCACTTATGTATTATGATAATGAAACATGCTAAATTGCACTTATTTTATTCAACAAGATAGTCTAGTTTCAATATAAATGTAAAATTACCTGGCCTGGTATAGAGGATATACTATCAATTATTTCCAGTGTAGATTTTATAGTTTAGGGATTAATATTACTTGGGATTAGGGATAGAATTCTGGGTGGAATTTAATCTAATATCAGAACCTGAACATATTCAGGTTTCGAGGGCTAAATGTTTGAGAGTAGAATCAAAAATAGTGCAGTAGGGATTTCTAGAAATTAAGGAGTGCAGGTTGCCAAGGAAGTGGTATAGCTGAATTGTGGCATGGATTGTTTACTTCAAAAAGGAATCATAACGTCGTCATCATCATCATAATCTTGTACCTCTTTACCGCTTAAGCGGTGTGAGGTTGCTTTTTATAGAGTTTGGACCAGGTGGACCTTTCTCGTACCAGCTCTCTTCTGCTCCATTCCAAACCTCACCTTTGGAACGCATCTCACAAACCTTCTTGTTAGGAGATTCAGGCTCTTCCTCTCAATCTTCTCCTCTTCACATGAGTCCCATAAGTCTTCCTTGTAATTCTCCTCTGATCCATATGGATAAGGCGCCCAAACCATCTTAAATTATGTTCTTCTGTTCTGATTGCTATTGCTTTGACATCGAGAAGAACATCCTTCCTGCTGCCCCGATTCTCCTCCTCCTCAATAAATCCATTTTTGTTAAACTGAGCTTATACCCTCATAACCCTGTGAGTTTCTCTTACAATGTGCATGTATTTCGTCTTCTTAGGTTTATTTCCATATTAATTAATCTCTCAATTTTTCCTTGAGGGTATTCATACTGTAGAGAAAAATCACTGCTGCAGAAATGAAGTTTCTCCGAAGGATCGCAGGGAGAACGAGACGTGACTGCATTCACAATGAGAGAATCAAAGAGGAATTGGGGATTCTCCCGATGAAAGATGTCCTAAAGACTCGGCAGCTTAAGTGGTTTGGGCATCTCGTCTGGATAGAAGAACACAGGGATCCATTAAAGTCTATGGATTATGTCCCCAATGATAGAAGACCCTGCGCCAGACCAAGAATGTCGTACCTCGAATACGTAGACCATCTGTGCAAAAACAGAAATAAGAATATACGCCAAACTAGAAATCTTGCAAGAATCAGGGATGATTAGCTCCCCCTACGCTGAAAGGCACTACAGGGTGAGGCAAAAGAAGAAAGGTATTCATATTGCCGGTCATTCTGGGCCAATATGGTGAGGTCGTCTGCAAATACCAATGACGAATAAAGAGTAGGCTGCATATCTCTGGAGCGGGAAGCCCGAGCGCGCTAAAGCGTGTGCAAAACACGTGTTGCCAGGCAACCAGATGATTGATAAACCAAAGTTTAAAAGACATCAGATAATTAAGAGTTCGTGTTCTGGTTCCTGGGGATTTTTAACTCCCCTTATTACTCTTATTAATCCCCCCTCTCTGCCTTGGCCCTGGAAAATCCTTGTATAGCCTTAATGGTGAGTTGATCAACAAAAAATGGCATATCCCTTTGATCCACCTGGAAACTCCGCATCTTCTCTCTTGCTCTCCCCAACGCTAGATCGAGAATCAGTATGAAAAGAAGAGCTGCAATCCTGATGTATGCCCTGTATTGTTTTGAACTCTCGAGAGGTATAGTTTTTCGTTCTAACAAGATTCCTGATTTTACTCTATAAACTGATTACGGTCCTAATAAATCCATTATTTACACCTTTCTCACCCAGAGCCTCAATTATATTATTTTAATCCGGTCAAAGGCCTTGGAGAGATCCACAAAACACACTGAGAGTTCTTTACCCTTCTCGACAATCTCTGTGATTTGTTGCATGGTGAAAATTCAACAACTCCCTCCTTATAACACGCCGTCACCACAGGGTCAAACATGAACTGATGAGGCTCCTTGAAGAGAGAGATTACGCCTGTTTCGAGGAAGTTTATTGGAGGGCCTTGGTGTCGACATAAAGGACGTGGCAAGGTTGGCGGAGAATATAATCCTTGACTCCCTGGGAATTATCCATCACCATGTGCATGGATAGAGAGAGAGTTTGTTCATGGGGGGAGGCATGCGTGTTTTACAGCATTTTTACATTATTTATTGACCACGTCCACTGCACTTTATGTATTTGTATGCATGTTATGAATTAGGTTAGGAAAAGAGAGGAGAAAGTCTAGGGAATGAGAAAAATGTATAAGGTGAGAGAAGGAACAGAAAGGGATGTATAATTCTAATAAATGAATGAAAGAAATAGTAAAAATAAAATAAATAAATAAATAAAAATATAGAAAAAAAATTATAATAAAAAAATATATATAGATAAAAAAAAAATTGTATACTATACTCATACATATTGTTAATACTATATAATTGTATATTAGTTTTGGAAAATTGTCTGTAGCGATTAATAAGTATACTGTGTTTAAAGCAACCCAATATAATTGGGCAGCACCCTTTTATGATAATAAAGTGATTCTCTCTCTAATAAGTTTATAATGTGGGTGTTTTATGATAAATCAGGGTTAATTTTTTTTCCTCTGCCGCTTTGTAAGAGTGGGATAGAAAAGGAATGGAATGAGTGGTCTCATTGAAATTTTGTAATGAGAATGGAACGGAGCAAAAATGTTCTTGCATTGGTTTCAGGAAACAATACAATACCTTCTTTATAACAAGTTATCTCTTTCCAAGTTAAGAAAGAGAATGGAGCGGTACAAGCCTTGTATTGTTTCTAAGAATCAATTCCACATTTCCCTGTGTTATAATTATAGTACCCTTTTCCGGATTAAAGTCTTGAGGAATGTTTCTATTTTTAGGTTAAATTTGTAAGCTTTAGATTAATTAAACTGTATGTATAAGAACTAAGTAAAGGAGAATTATGAGAATTATTAATAAAAATTATGAGTGGCAATTTACATAATAAGCATAGTTATTGTAAAATGATTCTCTAAATTCTCTGGTGCTTCAAATTTTCCTCAAGAAATGTGATAAAATCTTCATTTAAAAATGAAAGAGTGTACATGAATGAATCATAGATATGTTGCTACATATAATTAAATTATCTTTGAATATAAACTAAAATTTCAATAATAGGGATATAGGGTGTGGTAGAATACTTGTGTATCTACTTCTAGCCCTTAGCTTAGCCATTTAGTTGGCTTTTCTTATATTCTGATTTCATTTGTCTACGTAGTTTGTCTATTCATATAAATTAATTCGGTACTTCTCTGTTAGCGGGTAGAGTCGAAACCTTCCTTCTTATCTAATCTCGTTTCAGATAACCTCCCTTATCGACCCAATCTCGTTTCTCAAGTTATTGTGTTCTTTAGTTTTTCTTGTTCTTTAGTTCAGTTGTTCTTTAGTATTCTTTAAGTTATTGTGTTGTTTAGTATTATATTGTCTTCTTTTGTTAATATTGTGTTGTTTTGTTTCAACTGGAATTATGGATGTTGTCACATTGTGGGAATTGCCGTCTTCGGAAGAAGAGGCTATCAAATATTTTCAAGACGCCGGGATATTTGATAAGGTGAAATATTGTGATTATTGTGATGGTCGTAAAATGAAGTTCGACGGGAAGATTAAATGGAGATGCTCTCGTAGGTGTAACAAAACCGTTTCTATAAGGAAAGGAACGTGGTTAGAGGGGTCCAGGATTTCTTTTTTGACGGCTTTAAAATTCATTTATGGGTGGTCCCATAATTTAACTACAATTCAGTGGGGGAAAGAGCAGCTCAAACTATCCACCCAAACTGTCGTAGCATGGAACAAATTTTTAAGAGAAGTTTGTGCCCATGACATGTTATACAGGTCGAATAAAAAAATTGGAGGGCCTGGCAAAGTCGTCGAAGTAGACGAGAGTCTTTTTTCGAAAAGAAAAAATCATATGGGGAGAGTCTTACCTCAGCAGTGGATGTTTGGCGGCGTTTGCCGAGAAACAGACGAGTGTTTTATAGTTAAAATAAAGGATAGGAGAGCAGGGACTTTATTAGAAGCTAGCAAAAACAATGTAGAAGAGGGAAGCACGATTTATTCCGACTGTTGGAAAGGATACAACACAAAACAACTGAATGAAGCAAACTACGACCATTTTCAGGTCAATCACACATATAATTTTGTTGATCCATCAAGTGGAGTCCATACTCAACACATCGAAAGATTATGGGGCTCAGCCAAGTGGAGAAATAAAAAACACAGAGGAACTGCCAGACAACACCTGGATTCATATTTACGTGAGTTTTTGTGGCGGCGGGCGCATAAACATCAGGATCTCTTCCTCGCTATTTTAAATACGATAAAATTATTTTCCCTACCAAAATAAAATTTTTCATATTTTGTTTCCATCGTTTATTCATAATCTTTGTTTTAGATGTACATATCCTGTTAAAGTAGTTTTTTATTATTTAATCCTTTTTTGTCTATTTTTGGCCTATTTTTATTATTTCATTTATTTTTGTATATATGTTGCAATGTTTTCTTAATGTTTTTTAATTATATATTTATGTTTTGGTGTATATTTATGTTTTTACGATATATATGTTTTGGTATATATTTATGTTTTTCAATATATTTATGTTTTGGTATATTTTAATATATACCTTGTGAAATAAAAGTATTTTTAAATATACGTTGTGAAATAAAAGCATTTATTATTACATTTCTTTCTGTTTTTGTTCACAATTTCAATAATATCAATACAATACAATCAATATGAATACGAACACATAATAAAATGAATATAATACAATATATACGAATACGAAGAGCTTATCAGTGTTAAGGTTATAAACATTGGCGGATAGCAGTCGGACTCTACCCGCTAAAAGAGAAGTACCATTAATTCTTATAAATTTTGATATTTTTTTTCTTCGAAATATTGTGGGAGTATAATGATTTTGTTGTTCCCTCTCTATTTTTATCTTCTTGTTTGTCTTATTTTTATTGGGAGGGGGAGGGGGCGATTGCTGAAGTCTGCTCCTATGCTAGTAAATGTTTTCATCGCTACTTAAATTCAATGAATCTGACTCAATTAGTAATTTCATGATCAAATAGCACTTAACTTTTTCAATCCTCACATAAAAAAAGCAAAAAAATATTGGAATAAACATACAATTTATCATGCTAAATAATATGTTTTTCATCTGAATTTTTAAATTCCTTTATTATACTTTTAATTTAATATTAAATTAAGTATAGAAGTTTTTATAGAGAAATTCAGTTTGTTATAATTATTTCTCAGCTTATTTTTCAATGTAACAGGCCAATTAGAAAATTGTCATTTTACTATGTTCTTATTTTATAGGCTTGTTGGCATGAGCCTTAACATCTTTTGACCACTAAAAAAACTTCCCTGGTTTCACCTTTTAAGCCGAACTATCAAGAATAACAGCCTTTGATAAGCCTTAATAAATTTATTACCCATCTGATAAATTATATAATTCTCTGAATATAATCTTGTATCCTTGTCTTTCTTACAAGCATAGCGAATATCTATTAGGGAAGTATGTGTGAGCTATTAAAATGAAAATTATGTTGATATATTAAGTTTTGGCATGAACACTGAAGCAAAAACTAAATTTTGTGCTTTATGTAATAGGTTAAGTTGTACGCCTATGGAATAGATATATTGTAATTTTTTTTTAGGGAGGTAAATTTTCTCGATACTGGGAACTATACATGTCATGCTACAAATAAATTGGGTATGCAATCCCAGACTGCTGCACTACTAGTTAGAGGTATAATATAAGCCATCTATAATTATAATTTTTTAATTTCTTATTTGGTTATTTGATTTGGTAATTAAATATGTTTTATATAGAGCATACTCGAATAACTGATGAACCTCAGGACTATGAAGTAGCAGCAGGTACTGCTGCTACATTTCGTTGTAATGCTGTTTCTGACAGTTCCTTACCTTTAACTATTGATTGGAAAAACAATGGGCGCCTAATTGATTTTGAATCAGAACCTCGTTTTATAAAAGCTAACGATTATTCTTTGACAATTACTAAAACAACTGAATTAGATTCTGGTGTGTATACTTGTGTTGCTTCAACTCCGCTTGATGAGGCAACTGCTGAAGCGTCTTTAACTGTTCAGGGTAATTGAAATGATTTTTATCTTAATCCTTTTTTTTTAATCAGTTGTTTTCTATTATAAATAAATTATTTTTTAGATGTTCCAAATCCACCTGATTTGTTGGATGTGGAATGTAAAAGTCGTGATGCTACTATCAGATGGAAACCAACAGGTGACAATAGAGCTCCTATCCTTCATTATTCAATTGATTACAATACTTCTTTTAGCCCAGATTCATGGGAAAAAGAGAGTGATGATGTCCCTGCCACTGATACTGCATATACTGTAAGTGTTAGTGTATTAGTGTGAAGAAAATTTGTTTGTGATATTAACATTGAAAACATAAAAGGATAAATAAATAAAACAAAGTTAAGGTTAACGAAACTATAATGAGTAAATATTCTGAATAATAAGGTATACAATTATTTAAATATGTGAGTAAAGGAATTATTATGCTTAATAATCTTAGCTGTGTTGAGATGTAGGCCTGTTTTTTCTGTTTTTTTTTTTTGTTTTTTTTTTTCTTAACCCTACCTAGTTATTTCTGTCATACAGGTTTTTCAGCAGCAAAGGTATTGCACATGGGATCTGTGCATGCCACTGCCGCCGATACAACTCTCTATTTCGTTTATATATTTCGGAGCAACAAAAACAGGGATTCTGTGGTGTAACCCAGTACGCGGCCATATCTTCTGATGGGGCTACACCTTTTTCTTTTTTATTTATTTATATATATATTTTTCTTTTTCTTTCTTTACTCCTCTGGGTCCGTTTTTCTTTGGAGTACCAGTTCTTCCCCTTCCTCTGCTGGGCGCTCTCTCTCCAAGTTGAAATGCGTAGGGCCCTCCACTTCCTTTCACTTCATCACCTACTCCGTGAAGTGAGGGTGGGTAGTTATCTTCTGCCATCAGTCCTGGAAGATCTTCTCAAAGATTGTATAGCCCAGTTATTCAGTACAACCAGGCTCAGTATTGGTCCATTTTTGCTCATGTCAGCATGGCTTGTTCCACTGTGTCAGAAACCCTGCATGTGGGACACCGAGGGTCAATGTTCTTTCCATGCTTATTCAATTTATCTCTAAACCCACCATGTCCGGTGAGATTTGAGAAGACTAGTAGTCAGGTTGCATCCATCTCGCCTCTAATCTTTTATAAATGGTGGGAAAGAATTTCCTGAGGGTTGATTCCTTCTCCTTGTCATCCACCGCCTATTCCACTCCTCAAGTGAATCCTCCTTTAACACAGTCTTCCAATTTCTTCTTTCTTCTTCCAAATTCTTTCTGCTTCACCATTTTTCTACCTTACTGGCACTCCTCTCTACTTCCATCTCAAGCATAGCTTTGCTATCTGCTGCTACTATCACTGCCAGGTTGTTAACGTATGCTGTGGCTCTGAAACCCTCCGCTTCTAGTTCCTCAAGTATTTGATCAAACACCAGTTTTCATAGCACCGAGCCCTGTGGGCAACCTCTTTCTATCTCTCTTTCTATCTCATAAGATTTACTGCGCACCTTCACTCTTCTATTACAGAGGTAGCTACTCACAAGGGAATATAGGTTGGGGGCCTGGAACTCTTGCAGCCACTGGAGTACACTGGGCCACCATATACTGTCAAAAGCAGTTGATATATCAAAGGAGATAATCCTCACATATTTTTCTATCCTCTTCCCTGCGTCTCTACTCACTTGCACTAATAAACCTGTCGTACCTTTCCCCTTTGTCGAGCCGCTCTGCCATGGGTGGCTCACTGGTTGGGGAAATGGTCTAAGCGATGTTAATATTAGATGCTCCAGTACTTTACTGACCACCAGGAGGAGACATATGGGTCTGTATGCTTTAGGATAACAGTCTTAGGATAACAGGTCAGCAGCTTTCCACTTGTCCAGGAAGTACTCTTTATCCAAGCATTGGTTAAATATGCAAAGCCATTCCTCCTCTACTAGGCGTCAACTTTTCTGTAATTTGGCCGCGTCAATTTCGTCTAGCCCTGGGTCACAACCAGTCCTCTGTCTTTCCACCGCCATTCGCACATCCCAATTATCCCAGGGCTGGCACAGTTCTGTTCCCGGTGGGTACTCCATTGTTCTCCTGATCATTCTGTTCTCTTCAGTATCCTGGGTTGTGTCATAGCAGGGAGGATAAGTATAATCAACATACATTTCGATTGCCTCCTCTAGGATAGGGGCATAGTTGTTTCCAACCATGATTGCTACCATCATCTGTGATGGCTTCAGTTTGTCCAGGGTATACACCAGGGATTATTCTTTGCTGATTCCTCTACAATGAAGTCATCCCATGATCTCCTTTTCTGGTTGTGCAATCTGTTTCGATTACACTCTTCTCCTTCTTCTCTTCATCCTTGGTCCCTTGGTATCCTTGTCTTGCTCTATGGTACTCCCTTTTTAAGTGTGATAAGCTCTGGTGTCCACCTTGGTACTGGGCGTTTCTTGGTTTCCTGAACCTAAGAGAGCTCTCAGCTGCTACTTTAATGATATCCGTTATTTCATCCACCTTTTGGTCTATGCCCATCTCCTCCTCACCATCATAATTAGCCTCCATCTACTCTTGATCTGCCAGGATCTCTTCAAATTTTTCCGAAAATATCGTCCAGTCGCAGACTGGAACACAGTGTTCCTTGTTACGAACCCTTTTTTAGTATCATCCTGACTCTCTTGCTTTCCTCTTACTATGCTAAAGCCAATAGTCTCTTGCTCAAAACTCGTTTTCAATCCAGGGGTCCGGTCAGCAACACATCTTGTCATGGCGTCACGTCTATCCAGCTGCTTTCTCTTGCACTCCCAAAAGTGGGTCCAGATATTTCGTTCATTATTATGAGCTAGCATCCATACAGCTCAAACCCCAGATCATACTCCAAGCGTTCGTGTCGAAGCATACCACAACGTCCCTATATTGCAGCACAACCACTTCAAGGCGGCTAAATTTACAGTTATGTCCTGTTTTGGTGGCATGTATGACAGGACAAATGCAAAGGCAACGTTACCCCATCTGGTGTAACATGCCGCTTGGTCCGCTGTTACGTGCCTCTTAATTTCCATGACATCCAGAGTCGGGTTGATTATAATGATTGCCACTCTCTTCCTTCTCCCACCGACAGTCCTCGCTGCAACTCCAAATCCTGTCACTTGGTTCTTATGGCAGCAAGGTTCTTGTACGACTATGATGTCATATTGTTAGGCTAGGGTCCTCAGCTCATCCACAACCACTCGCCTCTTGGCCATATTTATCTGTATTGCTTCTAATTAAGTCTATCCATAGTAAGTTCTTTTTGCCAGTTTTCCTATTTCCTCGAGGTGCACTTGGCAATCCCTGCTACCCACACAGTGCTTCCTCTCATCAACTTTGACTTTTGCTAGAGCGCAGTTTTTGCAGTTCGGAGGCAGCACCTTATCTGGGCACTCCTTATCTATATTCCCGTTCTTTTCACACCATATGCACGCTAGCTCGTTTCTATACTATGCTTTGATATGGATGTACTTTTGGCATTTGAGGCATAAAGAGGGTTCTAATTAGTCCTTGACAACTAGATTCCACCAACTACCAGTGTTGTAATCCAGTAATAAAATGCCAGTTCTCATCTCCGCATCGACCTCAACTATCTATGTTTTCTTTAGATCTCCTCTTTCGGGATTAGAGAAGTGAACCTTTAGTCGCTCTCTGCTTGAAGCTTCATACATAGGTCTCGCTATCCCAATCGACTTGAGATTTTCCCACTGTACCTCTTTTAGCTTAGTCCCTGTCCACACATTAGGAACTCTACGGATTTCTAGTCTTGGTTTCTAGTCTGGTCCTTGTCAGCCCCTTCACTCAACGAGCTTCTTGGCCTGCTCTTGATCCTTTACCAATACATTTCCCCCATGTGTTACTCTCCTCTTCTGTAGGCAGCCTTCCCCATATGTTCCTGGGGTTCCAGTCTTCACCCTCCCACCTGATAGTGACGTAAGTGGGTCCTTTTGCAGGATCTGGAATTTCTCCTGCTAATCTTGTAACCGTGCAGTTGATTAATTCGTGGAGTAGTCCCTCATGGGTTGGCCTCTCCTTTTTAAAACCTGTCTCCTTATTATTGCTCCTTTGTTGCTCTGGAGTATTAACTCTTCTTCTTTCTTCTATTTTTCCTCCGTCCACTCTTCTTATTCTTCCTTTTCCCTACCACTGTGGTTAAATTTTCTTCTTCCTCACCTTCACTTAAGAATATCACATTTTCTCTGGAGATTACTATTCCCTTTTCTCTGAGGGGCATAGGCACCGCCATCAAGTCACCGCTAGTTCACTTTTCCCTTTCATCCCGCTCGTGTAGCCTCTTTGATTCTGGGCTATTCTCCTGGGGAGAAGATGGAAAGAACATTCTCTTGTGGCTCCTGGTAAGGTCCGATTCTGAGGAGTAGGTGCCTTCTGATGAGGCATGAATTTAGTAAATCTCCCCGTGCTGGCTTTTTCCAGAACACTTTCCGTCACTCATGTTGTCTTAATTCAATACCTCTTTGGTAATTCCGCCAATCAGCTGCCGAACTCGTCACTCTCGAACAATGACCTTGCTCAATATGGTAGCTATGAGCTCTTTCTTGGTCCGCTATCCATTTCTATCTGCTCAATCTCTGGTTCCATTGGCCCCAGATGCCTCACAGGTATTAAGGCACTAATTTTATATGTATATATTGTAACATCTCTCTTATATTTTACAAATAGTAATATAACATTGTGGCATACTCGTACTCACCTAACTTCTTCTGTAAGCTGGCTTAATGAAGCTGTATTTATCTTGTCTCCATGTGAGGTTTGTGTTGATGTTACAAAATTCAACTCTTTACCATGGTATGTCACTCTGTGTTGGTTTCTTCCCTGTGAAGAGTAAAAATTGGCCAACATTAATAGCTTGACACTGTGCACAACACAGTGTTGCATGTTTTCAACTTCCTGCTTGTAGATAGCCTGACTTAAACCCTAGGTTATCTCTCCTGCCGATGTTGAACAGTCAATGTAGTTGCACCTGCGCTGGGACTGACGTAATTTTAAATTGAAGTCATTTTGTATATTATTTTACTGAATTTTATAGTCACCACAGTTAGTGTTTAGGTATTCAATTAATATGTAATAGTATTTGGTATTTTTCAAGTTAGATTTAAATGTGCCACACTTCTAAAAGAGTAGACCTAATATAAATAAGATTTTTTTGTGGAGTCCCACAGAAGAAGAATGGTAAGTGTAGAGCTTGCTTTGGTGACACCTCAGCTTTCTAGAGGTAAAAGAGGTGTTAGTTGTAAACTGGCCTGAGGGTGTTTTCTATTATTTTGTATCTGACCAAAAACATTATCAATCTTAACCTTTATATTCTGACCAGAAAAGGTTGAAATCATGCATTTAACTAAGAAAACAGATAAGAAATTGTTTTCAGCTATTCTACACTATATCGATTGAAGCAATCAGACAAAATGTTACTACTGGAGCTTATCTTATTGCTCTTTTACGAAGAAAGGTTTAGGTTTTATATTAATTTCACCAATCTTTCCCCTTTGTTTTAGGAAGAAAAACAATCAATGGTATGCACAATTAATACTAATCCCTTTAATTTGTTGGTGTCACTAATTCCTACTGGTTTCAAGTATTAGTTTAAGTACTTTTTTTATGTTCTTTTTCTACATTTTTATTTATTAATTGCCTAGTTATATTGTTTAGGAGAGTGCTATATCATTTGTTTAATGAAATAATTTTTATTTTTAGGTTATCATGAGTCCTTGGGCAAATTACACATTTCGTGTTATTGCATGGAATAAAGTAGGACCTTCAACTCCATCACAGCATTCACGAGTGTGTTCAACTCAACCTGATGTCCCTTATAAGAACCCTGATAATGTTGAAGGAAAGGGAACAGCCCGTGATAATATGGTCATTAGCTGGACAGTAAGTGCTCATTTTTGAAAAAAAGTTGAAATTTATTTTCTTCCATAATATTCTCTGGAACAAGAAGGATAGTTCCTGTTATCAACAGGAACCATTTCTTCTCATGGATAACAGTTAGTTGCTTTATCAAAGTATTTCAACAAAAAATATATTAATACAAAATGGTTTGATTTTTCCCACTTTTTTAAGAACTTTGTTTCTATTTAAATATTTAATCTTAAAATTATAAATTTTTAATGGTAAAAGTAGAAACTTAAGAGCATTTATTACTTTCAATTTTTATAGCAGAGAATTTGTATTTATATCATATTAAATATGGGGAGCGGGGTAGCTCAGTGGTAGGGCACTGATCTTCCAATGCAAAGGTCCCGAGTTCGAACCCCGGCTCATGGCAGAAAATTTATTTATCTGTTTCATTGGCCGTGGGGCGACCTTGGGTCAGAAGTCCCTCCTGGGGCACACCCAGCCTCTATAAAGTGGGTACCCTTAATTAAATAATTAATTAAGGGGGAAAACCTGGCGGTTGAGCGTGATCTCGGTCAAATCACCTCCTTGCACAACCGTTGACCTAGAAACAGTGCTTTCCCTAAATAGTACTGAACCCCAGATCCTTCATGGATTGTAGGGGTACAGGTTTTTTTTTTTTTTTTTTTTCATATTAAATATTACTAAAAAAGTTGGAAGTTAATGTCTGTATTATTTAATTCTGTTTATTTATTTTTAGCCTATGCCGGAAATAGAGCACAATGCTCCTCGCTTCCAGTATAGGGTATACTGGAAACCAGCTGCTGATGGTCCTTGGCGTCAAGCAGATATTACTGACCCTAAACAAAATAGTTTAGAAATCAACAATTTAAGTACTTTTGAGAAATATATTATCAAGGTAATAGCTATAAATGAAAAAGGTGAATCAAATGTGTCTCCCCAAGAAGTTATTGGTTACTCTGGAGAAGATGGTGAGTCATTTTACTTTTATTGTGATTTTAATTAGTGGTAAGAGAAAAATTGAATGTATTGGGTTTAGAACTTCCCTATGTTTATTCAATGGTTTATTAAGAAAATCTGTTTCAGAATGTTTTTTATCATCATGTTATCGATTTATCTTTATATTTTATCTATAGATAAGCTCTTCTTGATTTGTTCAATTGAATTGTTTGATAACAAATATTTCATCTACACAATAGTTCATTAAAGAAAAAACTGGTTATTACATTTCATAATAATTAAGAATTATAATAATAATAATAATAATAATTATTATTATTATTCAAACGAATAATATCTTCATTAAGATATATATCTAATGCAAATACTATCAAACTTTAATATATCCTGCTGAAACAATTCAAGCATGGGTGGTTTTGTCAATAATCTCACCTTCAGTAGCCACAAAACATGTATTTTGTCTTTTCTCCGATGTTATTTTCTTGGTAAGACTTAAATATTTTTAACTGTTTTTCAAAATATTCACAATTTGAATCTCTACAATTTTTTTATGTATTGTAATAAATGTATGCCAGTGCATTCTGAACATTTTTATTGTAAAGATTAAAAATTTCTTATAATTGTTAAGTTGTAATTTTTTGTTGCAGTACCTACTGAAACACCTACTAATTTCACTGTACTTGAAGTTATTAGTGCAACAAGTGCTCTGTTTAATTGGAATCCTGTACCACCTTCTTCAGTAAGAGGACACTTCAAAGGATACAAAGTGTGCATTTTTTAATTTTATTTCTCTAATTTCTATTCTTTCTGATTATCATTTGTATTTACACCTCCAATAGGTGCCCTTCTCACTCTCACCTATCTGGAATTAGGATATGAAAAACTTCTCAATCAAGGAGATCCCACGGTTCAAAACAAGAAAAATCCCAGGGATAGACAGACAACCTACCATCAGAACTGTTTAACGATGGAGGAGATAACATAAGAACCAAGCTACTACAACTAACCCAGAAAACATGGGAAGAGGAAAGGATACCTGAGGTTTGGAATATGGGCCTAATCTGTCCTATCCTAAAGAAAGGTTCTATGTATAAGTATAGTAATTACAGAGGCATAGCACTCCTTCCGGTTACCTACAAGATAATGACCAATATCCTACTAAACCAGATATATCCATATTTCGAGAATATAATAGGCGACCACCAAGCTGGACCCAAAAAAGGGAGGAGCACGCTAGACCAGATCTTCATTCTGAAACAAGTACTTGAAAAAACATGGGAAGTAGCTCAGGAAGTTCACACCCTATTTGTCAATTTCAAAGCAGCCTATGATTCTGTGGACAAGAGCTGTCTTTGGAAAATCATGACCGAACTTGGAGTTCCGGTGTACAAATGACCCCAAATGTAGAGTCCTCATACAAGGAAAATTATCTGAAGCCATCAAAGTTCGAACGGGCTTACGGCAGGGAGATGGATTATCATGGATGTTATTCAACTTAGCCCTGAAGAAGGTAATAAGAACATCATAGGAAAATGGTGTGGTCCACATTGGGATGAATCATAAAATAGAAAAAGAAAAAAAAAGTTGCACATTCAGTAATGACTTGCGTAATAAAGTGATTTTTATCATGTACAAAAAAAACTAAATTTTCAATCTCCATTTTATCATTCCTGTAATAAGGAAATATGAAAAACAACAGTTTTCTAGTGTGTGTACACTTAATATGTAGTCCTTAGTACATATCTCTTTATCAAATTATTAAAATCCGTCTAAAAATTCGTGAATGGTTTCTTATTATCATAACATACAACTTTTTCATCTATGAAAATTCTTAAAAATGGGGCATTTACTCATTAACTCAATTATTTTAATGAGGTAATATTGTCCAAAAATCTTGAAAAAAGGTGACCTACAAAGATATGAAACCATTTGGCCTATATAACCTTGTTATTTTGATATGTTAGGTCTGCAGGTCATGCCAAACAGTCCAATATTTTTGCAGTCCATCTTTTTTCTCAATTTTGTGGTCATATTATCTTACAATTCAAGTGGAAAGCAAACAGATGTTTATGAGTTTTTAATCAATAAATTTTAATATGTTTTTTAAAAAATATAGATATCATAAGTATTTATTCAAATTTTTATAGATTCAAACTTGGGCTGAAAATGATGAAGGTAATATGAAAGAAAGTTTGCTGAAAGGTAACATGACCAGAGCAATTATTAATAAATTGACCCCTCATTCAAAGAATTTTGCCCGTGTGCTTGTCTACAATTCTATGTATAATGGTCCTGCTAGTGAAACAATACAGTTCGAAACTCCGGAAGGAGGTAAATATTTTTTATTAAATACTATTCATCTAGGCTAAGTCTATATTTTTTATATATTTTTTTTTTGTCTGATTTTCTTGGTGATTATTTAAATATACTTTATGAATTTCTATTGTAAAAATAACATAACATTTTCTTAAGTGGATATATGCATGTATATATATATATATATATATATATATATATATATATATAGTGATGTGAAAAAGTCTTCAAACAAGCCAAATTTTTATAAAACTGATAAATGTTTCAATTCAAAAGTATTTTTATATTTTTAATTGTAAACTGATTTAACATTTCAGGCAATTTAGATGCCATCTCTATTTAAATTAGCATTATCTTCAATCAGCAACAAGCCAAGGGACCAATCCGTTGTGTTCAGGGGCTGAATAATAATAATACTTTATTTATTCTTTTATTCTGTGATGAGTCCCTTTAGAATAATACAGAAAGACATCAATATGGGCTAAGGAGCCTCAGAGATACATAAATAAAAATACAGAGTAATTAAACAGTCATAGTAAAAAAATGAAAAATTATAAGTTACTTTCTAATTTTAATCAGTTAATAATAAAAAAATAAAAATAGAAAAAAAAAAAAGGATGAAGTAAAAATAATGAAGAACGAACTAATAATTTATATACACATTTACTGTAGTATCTATTTACAATTTCATGAGGAATGGATGGATAAGAAATGATTGAACAGGCGGGATTTAAAAGTAGGAAGGGTATTAGATTGACGAATGTGAGAAGGGATGGAGTTCCAAAGGAATGAAGATCGGATAATGAAAGATCTGTCGAAAGCAGCGGTTCAGTGAGCCCTTATATGTAAATCAGAAGAGCAGGAACGAGTATTGTGGGAACGAATAGAGGATTTGAATTGAAGGAGCTCAGAAATGTATGAATGGCGGTGGGATTGGATGACTTGAAAGAGGAAGGATACCAGGAAATATTTACGACAGTAGGAAGGATAAAGCCACTTCAACTCTGCATAAAAATGGGAAACAGAGGCGTCCCTTGGTATCCGAAGATAAATTGTACAAAGCAATTTATCAAACGTTTTAGTTTCGCCTCGAGATCCCAGAGCCCCCATATACCGAACAGCAATAGTCAAAGTGGGGGAAAATTAAGGAAGTGATAGGAGCCTACGAGTTTCAAATGGAAATAGGTGACGAGAATAATTTAGACGTTTTAGAGTGGAAATGTTTTAGACGGGAAATATTGGATAAATGGTTTTGCAGGAAAGCGTTTGATCGAAGGTTATTCCAAGGTTTTTGACGATGGAGTAAAATTTGATGGGATTATCATGCAGGAACAGAGTTGGAATATTAGGAACAGTTTTAAGGAGGCGATTGGAGCCTATTAAGATTGCCATTCAACTTCAACTTGTTATCTCTCGCCCAGTCACAAATTCTATCCAAGTCATATGGCGGCAGTTTTCCGAACAGTACATTGAAACATTGAACCATTTTGAGTAAAATTAATAAAATATTGCTTACAGGTATAAGTAAATATGGAAATAGTATATGTTGTGATGTAAGTGCAAGCGCCATCTAATGCTGTTACGTTTATCTTCAACAACAGTCCCACTACTTGGAGAAAATCAATAAATTCACTGTATTTTCCTTGTTTGAAATATTGAAAAACTATTAAAATAATTGAAAATGCAACTAAAGGTTACACAGTACAAAATAATGGGGGGGGGGGAGGTGTTAATTGACTAAGTATATGATATTGTGGGAGATAATGATGAAATGAATAAATAATTTTATTCTGGGACTACTGTCCCCTAAGAATAATAACAGAGTTACAAATTTATGGATCTTAGTCTGACATAATAAAAATACAAACTAATTTACTGTTAATTGTTATTTCAATTGTGAAATGGATTGAAATTAAACATTGTACAGATGCAAGTAATTTTACATGTTAGGGGAAGTTTGAAGGAATTTGTGGAAGAGGATTGATGCATGGAGGTAGGAAGTGAGTTCCATAAGGAAGCAGCACGAATGACGAAGGATTTGCTGAAGGAGGAAGTTTTATGGGAGGGAATATATAAGTCTATAGGTTGAGACCTAGTATTGAGAGAGTGGATAGAGGAGCGTAGAGTAAGGAGTTCCAGGATGTAGGGAGGGTTTTTGGTTCTGAAGACTTGGAAAAGGAAAACACCAAGGAGGAATTGTCGTCGGGAAGTAGGATAAAGCCACTTCAACTCGGTGTACCAGAGTGAAACATGTGAACGCCTGGGGATCCCGAAAATGTATCTTATGAAACAATTCATGAGTCTCTTTAGTCTCATTTCCAGCCTGGCAGATAGCCCTCCATACACCAAACAGCCGTAGTCGAAGTGGGGGAATACAAGGAGGTTACAAGGAGTGTCTGGTTTTTAGAGGAATACATCACGGAATCTTAGGAGTTGTTTAAGGGCAGTTATGGATTTTCGGGTAATCTGGGAGATATGGTTATTCTAGGAGAGGTTCTGGTCAAAGGTTACTCCTAGGTTTTTGGCTGTAGGGAAAAAATGGATGGGGCGGTTATTGAGGTTAAGTAGAGGAAAGTAAGGAAGGGAGCTGATGAGATGTGTGGACCCGATGATAATAGCCTTGATTTTATCTGCATTCAGCTTTAATTCATTTATTTCTGCCCATCTGTTGATGCAGTCGATGTCCTCTTGTAGCCTCCGGGCAGCCTCAGGCATCATGACTGAAGAGGGTATAGTTAGGTAAGGAAATGGATAGGGTGGGAATATCAGGTTTGAGCCAAGTTTCAGAAACGGCTGTGGTATGATGGAAGTTATGAAAATAATCGAGGAATTCGTCATAATGTGCTAGAAGGGATTGGGAGTTAACATGACACGATATTAAGGTATTAGTCATGAAGAGGTCAATGGTCAATCTGCGGAATGTGACAAAATGGTGATAATATTGATGGAGTAGGCACATTTTTAAACTTACATAATGAGATATAATAACAAATTATGTACATAATATTGATATAAATCTTACTAAAAATCTTTAAATGAGCAAATGTTGAAACGTTGCCATCTCTAGCCAGACTGTATATAATAATTTATATATATATACTCCGGAAACATAAGAAAACATCCTCATATGAAAAAAATCCGAAAAACTCAAAGAAATCGAAATGCGGTGGCCTAATCTTAAAATGGAGGTCGTTTTCAAAATCTACGGCTCCGGAAACATAAGAATACATCCTCATATGAAAAAAATCCGAAAAACTCAAATAAGTCGAAACGCAGTGGCCTAATCTTAAAATGGAGGTCATTTTCAAAATCTACAGCTCTGGAAACATAAAAATACACCCTCATATGAAAAATATCCGAAAAACTCAAATAAGTCGAAACGTGGTGGCCTAATCTTAAAATGAAGGTCGTTTTCAAAATCTACGCCTCCGGAAACATAAAAGTAGACCTTTATATTGGATAAATTCTAAAAACTTAAATAAGTCAAAACACAGTGGCGTAAACATAAAATGGATGTCATTTTCAAAATTTACTGATCGGGAAACATAAAAATACACCCATATATCGAATAAGTCAAAAAAACTTAAATGATTCGAAACGCAGTCACGTAATCTTAAAATGGAGGTTATTTTCAAAACTAGGTACAGGACAGCATATTTACTAGGCCCTAATAAATCCGAATAGGTACAATAAATCGATATCCGTAAGTGAAAATTCTACTTAGGAGAGCATAATAATAGACTTTCATATTGGAGGGGGGAGGGGATGGCCATTATTTAAAAAAAAATATAAAATTTACAAAAACTTAAAACATTAATTTGAAATGAAAACGGTTGAATTTGACTTGGAAAAGGTTGAATTTGACTTGGAAATAATTTAATATCACATAGAAATATCACACTGAAAAAATCTAAAATGTTAAAATAAATGGATATTCAACCGCGTAATCAATTTTTTTTTTTTTATTTTTCAAAAGCTATGCCTTCGATAATATAGTAAGTGGCCTTCATTTCGAAAAAAATCGAAAATTTACAAAAATTCGAAAGTTGAATTTGAAATGTAAAAGGTTGAATTTGACTTGGAAAAGGTTGAATTTGAAATGGAAAAGGTTTAATTTGACTTGGAAAAGGTTGAATTTGATTTGGAAAAGGTTGAAATTGACTTGGAAATGCTATATATATATTAAATAATTTTTATAGATATTTTATATTCTTTTATAAATAGATTATTTAGTATCTAAAAAGCAAATAAATTCATAAGAATTTATATGCAGTTCCAGGTACTGTGAAATTCTTTGAAGCTTATCCCATGGGGTCTTCTGCACTACTTTTGATCTGGAAACCACCTGAGTTCCCCAATGGGATACTCACTGGTTATAAGGTAATATACATATTTATTACATCCTTATAATTTATATTTCAGGGTGGACCAAACATAAATAAGAATTTTTCTGTGGAGTCCCAGGTAATAGCCATTTGGGGGAGAAGCTTGAGGAGGGTTTGGGTAAATAGAAGTGGGATAATTTTACACAGATTTTCATGCCAAAGTTTATGGAAGTTGAGAAAAGAACAGTTACTTCTTATCTGTTGTGAACTGGGTAATAGTCCAAGGTTAATTGGTTGAATATTAAATTGAATATGAATTTAGCCAAGGCTCCTAACTCGACTAAAAACAGTCCCCAATAGAGAAATACTTTATTCAAATAGTGCCGTACTACATAGGGCTGCTTTATACTCCGCATGCTGATGAATCTCATTTGTTCCTAGCACTTACATTATATTATTATAGATATGTATTAACTTAAGATATGAATTACAGTTGGATAATAGGTCATGAAATTAACGATTATTATTATTTCATGACCTATTATCCAACTATAATTCATATCTCAAGTTACATGGGCGGATCTACAGGGAGGGAGGGCTTTCAGGCTTAAGCCCCCCTCCCCAAATGGTAAAATATAACCATGTTTTATGGAAAAATATATTAAAAAATTATCTCTTAAAGTATTATTGTTCGTGTAATTACATTTAAAAGGACTTAAGGAATCACTTAAACACTGTTTCATATAGATAGTTAGTTTCTTTCTTTTTTTCTAAAGTAATTATCGCCATTTTTATGGAAAAAAAAAAGCTTTCGAGCTGAAGCCCCCCCAAAATTAAATCCTGGATCCGCTAGTGTCAAGTTATAATATATAAAGGTCGAATTATAAAAAAACATTGTGTACTATTATATATATATATATATATGTACTTTTTCTCGCTTATTATAACACTAATCATATAAAATATCATTAATACACTACATTTACGAACCCTTGGAATAACCTTTGATCAAACTTTCCTGGAAAAACCATGTATTCAATATCTCCCGCTGTACTTTTTCTACCTTAAAATGTCTAAATTGCCTCTGTCACCCTTTTCCTTTTGAAACTCCTATTCTCTTGGTCACTTCCTTAATATTTTCTCATGGCTATTGCTGCATAGTATATGGAGGCCTCTCTGGGGATCTTAAGTCTGCCACCCGTGTCTTCTGTGTAAACTCTGAAAAGTCCTACCCCCTACATACTTCCTCATTATCCGTTCCTATCTTACTGATAGATACTTCAAAGTAAACCAAAATAATGTCTGCTCATCCCTCTTTGCCCAATCTGCAGGAGTTCCACAAGGTAGTATCCTCGGTCCCATCCTCTACACAGTTTATACAGCTGACATCCCAACCCATCCTGACACTGTCATGACCACTTACGCCGATGACACATGTTTGCTATCTGTTAATAATGACCCTTTAATTGCATCCCAAACTATTCAATCACATATTACAAGCCTTGAAGAATGGTGTAAAAATTGGAGAATAAAAATAAATCCCATTAAATCACCTTTACCCTCCGTCGTAAACTTATGACTTCTTGTCCTACAGTATCCTTCAATAATACACCACTTATTCCTGTTGAGCAAATCCGCTACTTAGGACTCCACTTGGATAAACATCTTACTTGGAATCCTCATACTAGACTGAAACGACAAGAAACTGCTCGACGTTTCCGACTGCTCCAACACTTACTAGACAAATGCTCTAAACTTTCAATTAATTACAAAAGACTTATCTACATAACTATAATAAGACCTATATGGACATACGGAATTGAGCTTTAGGGCTCCACCAAACCATCGAATTCCTATCGTATCCAATCCTTACAATCCAAAATCCTCCGTAAAATCCTTAATGCTCCATACTTTGCCACAAATAAAACCATTTATAAAGACCTTAATGTACCATATGTCGTTGATTTAGCTCAAGCCAGATATCTATCCTTTCATGATAAGATCCAGTCCCATCCAAATCCCCTTGTTTCCACTCTTGCTTCTTCCTCGATCCCTGATAATCCTCCTAGGCGTCTGAAAAGGAGATGGCCTCGTGATCTTCTTACTTAGAATTATTTAGGGAGTGCTACCACTGGGTAGTATCTCTTCAAGCCTGTACATCTCATTATTTATAATTTGTGCATATTTACTAGTTGTATTTGTATACAGTTATAAATTTCATTAAATAAACAAAAAAGAAAAAGAACTTTCAACTACGAATAACAAATAATTCTGTTTATCTTTTATCTAGATAATAAATAGTTATCTATTATCTTTTTATTTGTTATTCGAGTTTATTAAAGAAATTTTGAATAATTGGACGCTAATTTCATTTTTCATCAATATAAGAGCTTATTTATATATTTTCACATCCATAGTTTTTTAAAATGATCTCCATTTTAAGATTATGCCTTTGCATTGCGACTTTTTTGAGTTTTTTTTTATTACTCCAAAATAAGGGTTGATTTATGTTTTCAGAGCCGGACTTTTTGAAAATGATCTCCATTTTAAGATTACGCCACTGCGTTGCGACTTATTTGAGTTTTTTTAATTTCTTTCATATGAGGGTCAATTTATATGTTTTCAGAGTCGCAGTTTTTGAAAATGAAGTCCATTTTGAGATTACACCACTGCATTTTGACTTCGGATTTATTCCATATCAGGGTCAATTTATATGATTTTTGGTACCGTAGTTTTTGAAAATGATGTCCATTTTGAGATTATGCCACAGTGTTTTGACTTATTTTGTGTGTTTTGACAAAACAAGGTTGATTTGTTAGAGTGCCTTATGAAGCAGTGGAAAGTGTCTCTCAGTTTGCTTGGCAAGGGAAACACCTCTATTCAATGAAAAAAAATTCAATAGAGGAATCTTTCAAGGAGACTCTCTAAGCCCATTTTTGTTCTGTTTGGTGATCAACCCTTTAAGCATCTTGTTGCATTCATCAGGTAAATGTTATCAACTTTGTGTAGAAACTGTTGTTTTTCTTTCTTCAAACACAGTTGATATGAAGTTGTATGCTAAGAATGAAAACAATATGCAAAGCCTTTTTGAAATAGTAGGGGTCTTCAGTGAAGACATCCATATGAAGATGGATTTGGATAAATTTGCATATTGCAAATCAACAAGGGAAAGATTAAAGATGCAAATAATATGGAGCTCTCTAATAAAGCAGTAATCAACAGCCTGAACGAAAACTACTGGTGCAAGTATCTTGGCATCTATTAGCTTTTAGATTTCAAAGACATTTTAAAAAGCATTTCAGGTATAAATTCAAGAGGCGTTAAAGTTCATCCTCAAAACATATCTTTCGGGAAAAATTATTATAAAAGCTTTGTATACATGGGTGATTGTTGGCACCCTTGCATGTATAAAAAAGTAAAGAAATGTATGTAGACTAAAAAAATGCAAGATATTCTCTAAATAAAAATATTTAAAAATAGGACGAGATATTTGTCTCTAGAAATATACCTTGCTCTGAATTATGTGCTACTAAATTAATAGTATGGCAGTAAAGGTGTTCTGATGGCAAAGCTTGTTGAAGTGTTGCAAGCTTTAACGTTCTTCACATTAGCTAGGGCATCTGAACTTATATCTGGATTTATAAGCACTTCAATTTTGATTTTTCACTTCATTCCTTCATTTAGTTTCCTGGGACGACCTTTGTACAGGTTATTTTTATTTTTGCTCCGTTCTCCATATCGCTTCATACAAATGAAGACTCAAGAAATCTGCTATTTCGTGATATGATCTGTATTGGTTTTGCATTAAAATCACTTTCTCGCAAGTTACAGCTCTCAGTTCACTTCTTTTTCTTTTTGGTATTATCAAGCAGTTATAATACATAGATCTAACGCTATTGAAATACTAATAGGAAAGAATATAATTATAAGCAAGTAAAGAAACAGTGTACAAATACTTTTTTCATGGCATTATGTTATTTTTAATTTTTTTTTTTTTTTTTGCTATGATCAATGTTTTCAATTGAATGCATACTATTTTTTAACAGTTTAAATTATACTTTTTATTGGGTTAACTCAAATCATTTTTTGAAAATATTTAAATTCATTATTTTAAGAACAAACGAGGTGTGCAAATACTTTTTGCCTCCACTTTATGTATAATATATTAAAATAAATCAAAATCAAGAAGTTATGTTTTTTTCTTGCCTACTCACTTTATAGGTCTACAACTTAATTTGATTTTAATTGTTACAGATTTATTATCAAACAGTCAAGGGTACTAATGTGGGACCTCTCATTGAACGAAAACCACAAATAAGTGATCCTAAACAATTGAGAGTCAAACTAGCTGGCTTAGAACCTGCCACTAAGTACCGAATTCATATTAAAGCCACTACAGCTGCTGGAGAAGGAGAAGGGTAATATTTCTAATTTATGAATGCACTAATAAGATATTTTTTATTTGATTAATTTTTACCAATTTTCATGTTTGTTTTTGTTGTTGCAGATATTTTATTGAACAGAGGACTAGGGGTTCTGTGTCAGTTCCTCCAGACCGTCCATCATTTAAGTTGTTAAGGTTACCTTCTGAGAGTGGATATGCCAATGTTAAAGTTCTTTGGCTTCCTAATATTGATGGCCGACCAGGATCACATTTTTATGTTAAATATAGGTAATAACTTTATTATATTTAATTTGTTTTTTGTTATTCTTATTTCCAAAGGGTCTGCCAGTCAGAACATTTGATAGTATTACTACTCACTTTGTAGGTCTTCATCAGGGCTACAAAATATAAAAGATTTATAGTAAAAATAAATTAAATGTATATTAGTAGATATTAAATAAGAGACAGTTGTCTGATAAAGAAATAGAAGAACTAATAAGACATCAGTGATATAGTGGGTGATAATATAGTTAAAATATAAAATATTACATATATAGAAGATAAAAACAACAGTGAATAAAGCGTGTAAGTTATAAGTAAACAGATTGTTATGAAAAGATAACATACGAGCGGATAACAAACTAGTAAAGATTACACTTGATAACTGTAGATTGAATAAAGATGAATAAAATGAAGGTTAACAAATTAAGAAATTGAAGAACTATTAAGTAATGATCCAGTAAAAGTAAAATAAGAAGTAAGACAAAATAATAATAAGATATCAGTGGATAACACACTACTAGAGGTTACACTTGATAAATTAAGGTTAACAGATAAAGAAACTAAAGGTTAACAAATAAAGAGATTAAATAACTAATAAAATAACAAAATTGCTAAAATGAGTTATAGTATCGTTAGGATAAATTTATTATAAATATATTGGATTGCACAAAAAAAATAAGAAGAGAATTTTAGAATATAACTTAAAATGTAAACAAGATTTTGATTATATAGAAAGTATATATAAATGACAATTGACATTCAGTTTTTTTGAAAATGGTAATGGAGTAATAGGCTATGTGAAGAGTATAATATGGTATAAAAGTATTTATTTTTATGGTAATAAAAGAGCACATAAAATTTAAAGTTGTATATAAAAAAAATATAATGTTGAATTATGTAGAATCCTTATCGGTAATTTATGTTACATCTTTTTGAAAAATTCACAAACCTGGCACACCTCTCCATCTCTTTTAATATTAACTCTCTCTCTTTAAAACTCAGCAAATTTTTACTTCCATCCTAGCAAATCCTTAGTCATGACAACCCATATGATATCCTCAACTCATTTCATCTTTGTAATCAGTTATTATCCCTAACCATTCCTAATAACTTCATTCTAGCCTTCTTTGACGTTTAAAGCCTTTTCACCAACATCCCTATAGATAAAGCCCTTCTTATAGTTGAAGAGTAGACTCCCTCTACCGTTCCTCATTTATTGAATCCCTACAACTCTGTTGTAAACCTGATTATCTCATGTTCTGTGGACAGTTTTACCATCAAATTGCAGGAGTAGCCATGGGCGAACCCCTGGCACTCGACATGCAGTTTTAAATGATCTCTTAAATACCATAGTTCCTCAGTTTCCAAATGACATATTTTTTATCAAAAAATACATTGATAATCTTCTTATCCTCAATCCTGATACTATTCCTGACATCCTTTCCACCTTCAACTCTTACCATCCTTTTTACAGTCTAATATGAAAATAACAATTCCTTCCCTTTTCTTGACATCCTCATTAAAAGACGTCCCAATAATATTTTAGTGAATGATAATTCAAAATTATAATTTTTTTATATACAAGTTTAAAGTTTGCGTGCTCTTTTATTATAAAAAATGTATTATTTATTGTTAAAATAAGTTTAAATTGTAAATTTAAAATAAAATGTTTTTAAATGAATAACAATTTCATCTTCATGATATAAGACTTTTTTGATTTGCTAATTTTTATATTTTTTATCATGTTTTACTTCCAATTTCTCTAAAACAAACATCTCTCAATAGTGGAAAAATTTTGATTCCCAGTAAGTGTCCACTACTGCGAATTTTTACTGTATATTTTTTAAAAGACCTCGGGTATTGTGGATTACAGTATACATAGTTGAGGAATTCAAACTACTTACTTTTATTTCTGAAAGATATTTAAATTTCCTACAATTTAAGACAATTGTTTCCTATGGTTCCTACAATTTAACCTGCTCACTCGTTTGAAATATTATATAATTGTCATTAAAGCAAAACAAAACAAAAAAAATATATCCTCATGGAGCCAATATTAGTGAAAAATGTTGACATTGTACTGTCTCTTCTTGTGATAAGAAAAATCTTTCAGCAGACAAACCAGTTATTTTTATATATAACTATTGATTAATGATAAACCCTTACCTAACAATTTGCCTTGTTTTGTTTCATGATTTTGTGTTGATCCGGGTTGTCAACACAATGAAATCTCTTATGAAATCAATAATTATTTTTTCCCCAAAATCATGTAATAATTATTATATTTTGATTTTTAATTTAAAAATTATGCCTCATTTATAAATAGTGATCACTGTATTTATAGTATAATATATCGTTGGAAAGCGGAGAATTTTAGAAAAAATAATATCAAATAAATAAAGTTGTAGAAGGTAACGAAAAAAATATAAATAATAATTTTAGAAAACTAACATTATTTAACGTAATGTTTCCAAGGAAATTAAATGAAATTTTCTCACTAAATGTAAACTTAAACTTTTGTTTCCAAGTTTGAAAAAAAAGTATTTGAAATCCACCGAATCAAGCCAATGCCATTGTTTAAAATACTATTTCATTCTACTTCTGTGAAAGAAGTGAAATATAATAATATTTCATGGATATGTTTATAACCTTAAACACATTTAATGTTGTTTAATAATGATATTATATATAAATAATTAGGTATCTATTCACTGTTTATTCCCAAAAATCATCAAGTAACCGTTTAGAAAATTAAATTAGCGTATAATTAAATGAATTTTCCATTTGTGAAATCCTAACATTATTTCTGTTGTGCTAACATTTTATTATATAGGACATTATTAATTCCTTGATTTTAATAGGAGAAGTTGCTTAAATAATGTTTTTGTCTTAAATGCTGTTATCCAAATCGAATTTTTAAAAGAGAAGTCTAACATTTTCGTTCCTTTTGTTGACTTTCGTCAGGCTTTTGACTCCATAAATCACACCTTACTATGGCACAAACTTTTCTTTTCTTATCTAATATTGAGGAATACTTTTGCAAGCGTAACCTGTCAGGTATACCTATTGATAGATGTGTTGATATACGGTTGCTCTTGTTTGCAGATGACATGGCTATTTTTGCTTATTCCTGTAATGACCTCGTAAAAAAAAAATTCTCTAAATGTATAAATAATACAGAGACAATAAACTAATTATAAACATTGATAAAACAAAAATTTTGAATTTCGCTAGGGAGCATCCAAATAAATATAATATTATATATTTGGATGGAGAACTGGTTGATACAGTTAGAATATACAATTACTTAGGTGTTCACTTTTGTAGGTCTGGTTTGTTTTCGCAAGCAGTGAAGATGAAAATCTCCAAGTCAAACTCAACAATAGGTAGTGTAATAAACATTTGTTCTAAAGCAAAAATGAACTCCTGGAAGGTGAGAGAAAAATTGAAAAAAGCTTTCATCAATACATCTCTGCTATATTGTGCCCAAGTATAGAGTCTCCAATACATAGAGCTCTTAATAAAGGTCAACACAAATTTCTATAAAAAGACATTCGCTATGTAAAACCACCCCAGACTATTTAGTACTTTTAGAAACAGGGTCTACTCATATTGGTATCAATATTGTGAAGTGTTCATTGAATTGGTTGGTTAAGCTTGTGGAAATAGATGGATTTAGATATCCTAAAATATGTTTCGAAAAGCTAAGAAATAAATTTTACTTAGCTAATCCTGCTCCTTTGAAATAAAATTGGTGTTCTCAGCTAAAAGTATTGTTAGATACTATTGGGAAAGTAAATCTAGTTTATGAAACCAACTCAGCCATAATTAGAACAAATATTAACAGGATATTAAATAAATATAAACAACATTTGCAGGACGGTGACAGGATAACATTGCATAGTTCATCTTATAGTGAACATTTAAACCTTTTTCTTAATAATGATCAGATCCCCCGTATTGTTGATGCCAACTAATTTCAAATATATGAAACTATTAATGCAGATCCGCCTCTTGGGAAAATATATAATCAAAATTTCTGTTAATAATAAAATTACTTCACAACTTTTGCACAGTGCAAAATGTGCATCACTAAAGAAAACAAAACACTTCATCATATATTGTTTAAATGACCAATTTACAGTAGTTTAAGGTTAAGAGTTTACCTACCACCAGGGTATGGAAAATCTTGATGGGATAGAAATATTTTAGCCAAACAGTGCAGAAGATATGAGAAAATTATTTTTTTTTTTATCTCAATTATATCAAATTATAGAGAATCAGTTGAGTAATCTGGAATATTGTCCTCTGCATGTTATGGCAAAATTTCATATTGCACATCAGCATTTAATCTTTTATGGAAAGATAGCGTATTTTTCTTGGTTGTTCTCATAGGTATAGGGATGATCTTTTAATTTAATTTTAAAACATAATTAAATATTAATATTTTTAAAAAATGTGTATTTATTTATGAATATTGTTGACAAGTTTTGATTTTATATTAATTTGATAATTGGAACTATTTTAACTCTGATTTTTACCGAATATGGTTTTTAATTTATCTTTAAGAGTGTTGTAATATCTGTTAAAGGATAAAAAGGAATGAATTTGTATTCCCATAAGGATAATAATGTTTGTTATTTTGTGATAGACCCCATTTTTAAAGGGTTCTTCCCTAAAAAAAAATATAGATTGAATTGAATTTAATGAATTCCTTGATTTTTAACAGAATAAAAGGAGAACCTATTTATCAGCAGACTGCTGAAACTACAGATGAAGATTATACTATTGTTAGAGGACTTCAACCCTCAGAAACATATGAATTCAAAGTCGTATCTGTTGATGGAGATTTCATAGCTGAGTCTGATGCTGAGGAAATGGAAATGCATAGTGTTGGTTGGTATTCAATTCAATCAGAAGAAATTAGAAACATTTAAGCGAAATAACATTCAAACACATTTATGATAATTTTTTATTTCTTTATTTTTAATTATATATATTTGCATAGGATAACTCCTGTTGTTCTATTTTCTATAATAAACTTTATTATAATAACTATTTTTCTTTGTTAAATTTCAAATAAGCCATGGAAAAGTATTTTACATGTATGCCAATACTAACACAGTAATGTAATGGTGTGTATAACTACAGTTCTGCCCTTTCAGTAGATAAATAATTATCATATAAAATTAAATTAAATTTATCCATGGCTTGCGGAATTTATTCCCCAGATATTTTGACTATGTGAGTGTAATAAATATAGCTGTTACACTTAAGATGTTTTTTCTGAAACTGTAAACTTAGCGTTTGAGAAATATTGACTGACTTTTATCTAAGCATGACAGTACTGCCCAAATGTATTGGATTTATACTTATAGATTAAACCACAAATCTTATCTCTTTATTCATTGGAACATAATAAATATATACAACAATTTCAATAGGTAAATATCTTTTTTTTCTTTAATTTTAATTTTTTTTTTTTTTTTACATTTTTACTTCAGGGTCTAAATTGTTGCCAGTTCTCCCAGATATTTAAAAACATTATATACTTTGAAAATAACTTCTGGCAAACAGTTTCATTGCATGTCCTCTTAAAATCAAGGATCACTAAAAAAAATATATAATTTCGTGTTACATTTTCCTTGCCATCTAGTATTTGCCCTTTTCATAAAAAAAGTTTAACTGAAGATGATTTTATTATGATTGTTTCAGATGGGCCTATCATACAACCTAAAGAAAATGTAGCTACCGCTGGATGGTTCATTGGCATGCTTTTAGCTATTATTTTCTTATTGTTGGTATTGATTTTAGTTTGCATTGTCAAAAGAAACAGAGGAGGAAAATATGCTGTTCATGAACGAGAAGTAGCTCATGGGCGCCATGATTATCAAGATGACGCTGGTTTCCCTGAGGTTCCTATGTAGGTTCATTATGTATATTTATTATTTTTTAATATTTAATTTTTTTCTTATAACATTAAAAAAAAATTCTTTAAACCATCTTTTAAATAAACATGAAACAGACTTTTAAATTTAGTTTTAAAAACATATTCGAGAAATCATTCATTTTAATATGAAATAGATTAGAAAAAAACGCTTAATTCTGGAAAAAAAAGTCCTTTAGATCATGAATAAATAAAATTACATCATGAATAACAATGATGTACACATAAATCTTACTAAGCTATTTATAATTCTGCTTAGTATGTCCACCAGATTTGCTGAGGTATATAGCATTTACTCCTCCTACTTAAATGTTTAATGGAATTATTTTTTTAAAAACATGGAATGTACTCTGACAAATCTCATTAATTTTTCTACAAGAGAAATTTTAGTTTGCCATGCCAGAATTTGAACTAGGTTTGTTCAGCTTAAAAAGTGACTGCTTTTTGGTATAACCCTCTTAAATACCTTGTTCCCTTTGATAGGCATTTATCCAAAGTTTTAAAATAAATGCTCTGGTATAAATTTAAACTTGATCTCTCTAGTATAATTATTAGTGACTACATTATGGATTTTCAGACTTGATAGTAAACCTCGTGGTAGGAGCTCAGTAGGCAGTGATCCTAAAGCAGCTGCTGATAGTGATTCTGATTCGATGGCTGAATATGGTGAAGGCGATACAGGTAATTTTAAAAATTAAATATTCAACTCATCCACCTTTCAACTAAGTGTTTGTAATCAATTATCATTATTTTATTATAATCCTACTTCTAAAGACATTTGAGTTAAGTAATCCCCAGATAATTTGTGTATTATTTTTAAATTAAGAGAGGAAACAATTTTTTTAAAAATCATATTTAGCTATATAGTAATCTTACTATCTTTGTGATATACAGTTTCTTATTATCTTAATTGTGCTATTGTGTTCTTATGTGTGTGTTAGCTATAGTGGGTGGTTGCATGCTTCTGTGTTCTAGTACTCTCAAGAATTTAATTTCTTCTTGTATTCATAATGGGGCTATTATTTCTAAATGAAGTTGTATGCTTATTAATGCTATAGATAATAGTTTGAACAATGGGGCAACTATTTGTAAATTAGGTTACATGTTTTTAATGTCCATGTGTACAATACTCCTTTTAGGAGAATTTCTTACTTAAACATCTGTTTAAACACAGGATATTGATCTGCCCTAATGTACAGTCTCAGATCTCTTAATTAAGTCCAATGATAATGTTCGAACATCGCTTATAGTAAACAGCTGTAAGTGGTGGTTTAAGCTGGCATTCTATAATTATCTTCCAAATTAAATATTTTGTTTACCTGAACATTGCTGTAATCTAATGCTGTTGTATTAATGTTTTTTTGTATGTAAACAGATTTGGTCCAGTTATTTTTTTAGATTACACCATAACAATAACCAATTTTAAAACAATAAATATTACATTAATTTGATTTGTATTATTAATTTATCTTAGAAAATTCTGTGAAATTAACTTTATTGAAAATTTCAGATTACTCTCTTATCTTCAAGAAGTTATTCTGAATTGCAAAAGCCGTGACATTAATATTATATTCAATTGAGATTACAATCAAAGATACAATTTTATTTATTGAAAGAATAAATAAATATATTTTTCAAAAATTTCAAATAGAAGAATGAATTTTGAAAATTTACTGAACAAAAATTAAAATATTAAGACATTAGTATATTCTCACTTGTAGGTTCCGTGATAAAAAAAAAATATCAACCAGGAGGTGGTTTATGAAAGAAATGAACAGCTTGGTTGCATGATCATATGAGATAATAGGTAATGCTCATCACTCTAACGACTGTTTATCAAAAACGATACTAATGATGTGTAGTACAATGACTTAATAACTCTCACTGTTATGTTTAAACAAATTTTTACTGTTTCTTTATTTTAAGAGTGAACTGTATACCTGACCATTATAGTTGTAGATAATTTTTGTGTGAAAATTAATTAATTTTCTTATTTGAATATGTTAATAAGAACAAGCTTAAACTTTTTATTTTTTCTGAAAAATTTACATTTTGTTGACATTTATTTTGAAAAATATTAAAATTATGTTAAATCTCTGTGGTAAGTATATGGAAGATAAATATGTGCCATAGTCTGATTTCTGTATGCATCATTTAAATATTATTGCTTGGGCATCATACCCAATATAATTCTTAATATTGGGTATCCACAATGCCCAGATTTTAACTACCACTCAGAAATTTTTTTCCAAATAGTTACTGTTTAATAAAAATAAATATAATTATTTATTTATCTTAGATAACTGTATTTAATGTCATGGCGGTTATGTGTTTGTGGTAAAGCCATAGTGTCAAGGATCTGAGGATTAAATATGAATTATCAAGATACTCAAGTTAACAAGATTTCCTATAATTAGAATTTTAAAGAAATATTTGGTATGCGCATTACAAGTTTCATTTACGATTCTACTTAAAGGACTTGATGGTGTGTTGGGTGCAAGAATCCCAGATTGCCCAGTTCCGAAAGTTGTGGGTTCGACTCACACCTGGGTCAGTTATTTATTTCTCAACAGTTGTGAGAAATGAATTTTGACACTCCCGCTTAAGGTACTATTTCGCTGGCGGGGTTGACCACTGCTTTAGTGGAATAGAAAGGAACCTATTTCGCTGGCGCTGCTCGGCAGTCTAGGTATGACGTCATATCTAAGCTGCTCGTATTTGACTCCTCTTGAAGCAGTGGAGCTGTTGGCGGTTCGGCGGTTGTAGGTTATGTTATCATATCAGAGCATTGTTTTGATGATAACAGTCACGTCGATACGTTTTATTTCCTATGTTTCTTTCAAGTCTGGCAAAATTATAACAAATATCGTTTAAAACTGAAACAATGCAATAGTAAATTATTTTTTTAAGGTTGAAGTAACAAGATTATTTATTTATTTATTCCACCAACAATATTTTACAACGAAATACAAATATACCTAAATCCAAACGATATTAAATGAATTAAAGAATCCAACAAATTTTATTTTCAGGTAAATACTAAAATCCACATATTGAAAAATCGATTTGTATTTTTTAATTAAAGTGGTGATTTACTGATTACTATTGATAAAACTATAAAACATCGCCTGCTGGGATTTAATTACAAATATATGATATTTATTACTAATCAATTATGTATTAATTACTATTACTTTTAAAACTAATAATATCTAATATCAGAGGGACTTTGATGATGAGCATCACATCGAAATACTGATATTCCTTCTCTTTATGAACAACATTTTCTCTTCTTTTTCCAACTCAAATAAAAAAGCGGTAGTCAGAGATGTTTATTATTATAGGATGTTCATTTTTATTATTATATTATGTCCATCTTTTTATCTTTGAAGATACAGCGAAATGTTTGAAGGTTATAGGCAGGTTATAACAACCCCAGTGAGCAGTTTCAGCGAAATAGCTACTCCAACAGCGGTTGGCAGCGTGGAATAGCGGTCGCTGTCGTGGACCGCGCCAGCGAAATAGTACCTTTAGGTTAATATTTTCTGGCAACCTCAAGGTAGCTGCCACATATTGGCAAAAAAAAAAAAAAGCTGTTCCACTACAAAACCATGAAGGGATCAGTACTTTTAGACTAGAAGCTACCTACCATTTCATTTAACGGAAGCACTTAAAGCTAGTAACCATTTTAGATTCTAAATAAACCTCATCTGAACACACAACTCAGTCGATCGGTTGAAAGCCTTCACTTTTTATGTGAAAATTTAAATTAAAGATGCGAAATTTGGTGGTTCATTTAACATACAGCTAAAATTTTTATATGATGTCAAGAATATGTCCCTTAAAGATAATTCACCTTGACTGATGATATACTTGGTTGCATTTTGAAAATTGACTGCATCAAATTAGGACAGTAACAGGAAAAAATTAAAATATCCTATTTCTCTTTGGCTTTTTATGTTTTTTGGGATGCTGAATCTAAATTTGATGTTCCCGAATGAAATTTTATATGCATATATGCAAAAAACAACGAAATTTTCAAACCTTTGTTTTAATTTTTTTTTATATGACTGTGAAACTATGCATTTTATCGAAATTATTATTATCTAAAAGTTAAAGAAGATCAAACTGACTATCAATTTTATGTATAACTTTTTGATGTAGGCCCAAGGGGTGAGGAGATAGAGGATGTTGACTTCTTGCTTATTTCACAAGAAATATCTCTACTGTTGGTTTTTCCCCTGAAACTCATAATCTATGCATCTCTCAAGAAATTCATTATAATCAGTTTGAAAGAGCATTAAATTTTCTACATATCTCATGTAGACACATTAATACATGAGAGGATTAGGCGGTTGTTAAAGCACATGAAATTGAAGGCTTATTTCACTCGTATTATCTGCTGCTCTCAACTTGAATGTTTTTTATCCTTTCAACGCTTTTGATTCGGCTAATTTAACTATATTTACAACAGAACAAGAATGTACAAACAAATTACATTGGTTTTAAATGTTTTGTTGGCATGAGAGACTTCAACATCCATAACAATAATAAAAAAATTAAGGACCAAAACGGGCTTCAATGTCTTATAAAATACATAATTTCAGAGTCATGTCCAAAAAACTAAGAAAAGTCCAGAAATTTTGCTTCTTTTGCATATATTTCGGAACGCAATGGAAAATTTTGTTGAGAAACATCAAATCTAGATTCAGCATCCCAAAAAAACATTAAAAACTGAAGAGAAACTGACTATTTGAATTTTTCCCTTAACCAAATACCATCCAACTGGCCTAATTTTGATGGCTTTGACGTCGTCAGTTTTCAAAACGCAACCGACATCATCAATAAAGATGAATTCTTTGTTAGGGACCTATTCTTGACATCATATCAAAACCGTATATTCTTCCGTTAAATAAACTATCAACTATTTGCCTTTTTAATTTAAATTTTCAAATAGAAAGCAACGGCTTTCAATTAACTGACCAAAGTTGTGTGTTTAGGTAAAGTTTATCTAGAATATAAAATGATTACTAGCTATAAGTCCTTCTGTTGAATGAAATGGTTGGTAGCTCCTAGTCTATTTGTAAGGACGTACTGTTTAAATGTTTTAAGGCCAACGGTTGTGCAGGGAGGTGATCAGGCTTCACATTCACCAAGTTTCTCCCTTGATTAATTATTTAATTAAAAGTATCCACTTTATAGAAGCTGGGTGTGCCACAGAAGGGTGCCCTGACCCCAGAATTAATCCTCGGCTGTTGAAACAGAATAAATAATTACCTGCTATCAGCTGGACTTAAACCTGAATCCTTGAGCTTTGGAAGTTAGTGCCTTGCCCACTGAGATACCCTGCTCCCTATTTAATTCTAGTAATGGATCAAAAGTTATTAAACTCAAGTAAAGCTATTAAATTAAATGTATATTTACGACATATTTTTCCTGCCTTTAAGCACAGCTTCAAATATTTATGACTCCTCCTATCAGGACAATTTGTTTTCAACCTGTACAAACATTTCATCTTATGTGAGATATCAAATTCTTTCTAAGTTTATTTTTTCCAACACTTATTTCTACTAACAATCAGAGACTTAGTTATTAAAAATAAACCAAATTAAATGTACTTATAGGGAAAGCCATTTTGAAAATTAAGCCCTGTTTGACTACTTGGATGAGGATAAGATAAG